CTGGTGAGGGTTGATGTGATTGGATAAAGAGGCAAGGGAGAAGGGGGGGTGGGGGGTGGCAGACCATTTGTGGCGTGAAAGGGGGCCTGTGGGTTTGAGATTTCGCCAACTGCTCTCATTCTTGTACCCTTGGCTCGCTCACATGTTGCTAGCTCGAGGCCTCGGGACAGGGTTGGAGAACCTCGCCCGGTGGTCAACCCGGTTCTCTTGCTCTGCATCTCCGAGTCACCTTCTTGTGTGCAGAGCGCAGCCCCATCGTACGACTGTCGCGCGTCGGCAGTCACCAGGGTGCCGAAACCGATCATCATGGTCAACGAAAGAGCTCAAAAGACATTGATGAAACATGTATGTCGCTCATCAGCGCTCCTAGGCTGCCGCCATTTGGTGCTCATCCCTCGACAGCTGGCCTGGCCCCTAACCCCTGCCCCTTTCTCTCCGTCCTGCTGGCTCACGGTCGTCGGGCATCTTGACAGGTGCGCAGCGGTGACTTTGTCGCAATTTGGCAACTGATGCACGAGGTCAGTCCCAGGTGCCTAGCTCGACTCAAACCATTCATACTCTTGCCATGCGCCTCGTAGACCCTGACTGCCCTCATGATCTTACGCCCCCTGTCTATGTAGATTGATGGTAGCGACGTGAATCTTCAACTTGCCGATGGCAGCGATCCTTTGGGCTGGACCCCGGCCGGCTGGGCCGCCAAGTTTGGGCGCAACGGCACCATCGAGGTGATGCTTCACTACGGTCTCGACGTCAATGCCTTTGGCAACAACACCGACCGGCTCTTGCACATTGCCGCTCGCACAAATAGGGTACGGCCCCTTATCCTGCCACCCCATTCTTTCAAGATCGGCGTCAAGTGTCCGAGAAGCACACATTCTCACAGATACATATGACTTGTGACCTGCGCTTTCTCCAACTTTTGAAACACACACGCATTCAATGTGCACAGGTTCTAGTGGTACAGCAGCTTCTGCAACACGGGGCTCGGCGTGATTTGACCAACAAGGCAGGACAAACTTTCGACAGTGTCGCCGGGCCGGAAGTGCAAGAATGGCTTGCCAAAGCTCAACACGGCCTCGAGCATGCCGACTCACATGACTACGCCCTGCAAGAACAAGTTCTCTGCCAACACGACAGCTCGTGGTGGTCAGCCTGGGTTACTCAGATTGACGTAGACCAACCCAAAGTGGATGACCTGTTTGCCGATCCCCCCACTCCGCGCCGCTATCGCATCCACTTTGCCGGTTTTGGCAGCAAACACGAGGAATGGGCTGCGCCCGTCAATCTCGCCAAGGTAAATCAACACACACACACACACACACACACACACACACACACACACACACACACACACACTGTGTGTGCTCTAAAAGCAATGCATGACCTGTCATTGCCGGCACGCAAACAAACTGCAAACTGCGGGGGCAAGACAGCTCACCCAAAGCGCGTGGCCGCTGGCTCACTCTCAATGTAGGTAACCCTGGGCAATATGAAGAGCCTGCCCCTGGGTCGAGTCTTGTTGCCGACTGGTCAAGTCGAGTCAGATGGGCTTGGGCTTGCGACTCCGCCCGTCTCTACCCCCACCACAACTGCGACTACAACTGATACAACTACGTCGACGACTTCTCCCGCCAACGCCAACGCCGCCACCACTTCCGATGCGGGGCCTGGTCCGTCTTTGCAAAAGTCTGCCGTCGTGATGACACCGCGCAACTCAGACACCCCCGCTGTGGCACCGGGCCTAAGTCAACCGACCGATGGGACTTCCAATGCTGAGCCGCCTGCCAAGCGCGCGCGCCAAGCTTCCAATGCCCAAGGCACCAGCGAAGCGACTGGCACACACACCCAAGTCACCCCATCACAAGTCTCGTCTTCCCCTCGTAAGCAAGAGTTCCAAGTGGTTCATGGTATCCAAGCACCCGTCAGCGGTGTACCGTACAGCGAGCGAGGCATCTCCAGCCAGCTCGGGTTTTTCAGTAGCCGGACCGTCCTGAATGACGCCCCCTTACCGGCGGTGTCCAAGTTGCTTCAGCACGACGTGCAGAACGTTGTCAATCGAGGACTGAATAGCGAACCTGCCGGTGCCGAGGAGGACGTGCCACAATCCATGTTTTCCCGCCTAGCCGCTGGCCCAACGGCTGCTGCCGAAGCCAATCTGAACCTGCCAGGCATTGACGACCGAAGCGCCGCCCTGCTTCTTCGTTTTGTTGATACTCTAGTTCGCCGCCAGGCCCACGCCCACCCCGACATTGCCAGCAACCCTGCGCACCCCGACTCTGGTATGTGATATCCGATTCATTGGAGAGTGTCTGGCTTGGGCATCTATGCCTTCTTTGCTTGGGCTGCTCTGCTTTTGAACCGTATGATGACTGCTCTGAAAATTTCCAACCATTGTTCTTATATTGTTTTGTTTTCCTGGATAATGTTCTCGCAGCCGAGGTGCAGCGTGCGACCGAAGTCGCGCATTTGCGTTCCGAGCTGGCCCTGCTTCATTCAGAAGTCGAAGACCTGACGGTGAGCGTGTTGTTGCATGAAATCGAGCTTCAGGTCCAGTCTGAGACCTGTCTTGTTATGCTTCTCTTCTCAATATTGTCCCCCTTGCCGCCCTCGTCGTGATCAGACCTACTGCCAACAGCTGGAGCAACGCCATGCTCGCTGGATCAAGACCTTGGCTGGAAAGGATGAGACAATTGCCGCCTTGCGCCTTGGTATGATGGCCTGCATCGTTTCGTCTTCCGCTTGCGTCAGTTTAACGTAGGCGAATGGTTGTTTTAATATCTTTCGCTCATTGGACGTATGACCCCCGACCCCGCTGTAATAGAAACCCGAGTGCTCAAGGACGAGCAGGCTGCATCTGGTATCACGACTGCCCGTGAGTATGCAGGAACGATTCGGCGCCTACGGTACGTTGACCCTGCATACTTGCACACCCCGCACCTGCATGCCCCAATATTGTCAAGCTGGCTGGCTATATCTCGACCGTCGCTCACTTGGCGCTGTTCGCTTTACCCACAGAACCCAGCTGGCTTTGACCACCGTACGTCTTGGCGAAACCTTGACAGCCAAATCACAACTCCAGGAGGAGCTTGATGAGCTCAAGCTTCGATATGCCAAGTACAATCTTGTCCAAGCAGGCTTGCTCCGCACCTTGGATGGCACTCCCTCGACGAGCTCAGCGCCGACTGCAGCGCCGACGACCGTCCCCCCTTCAACGGCCTCCAATTCCAATCCGCCCACCACGTCTGGTGAAGCGTCCTCTCTTGCGAGCACGTCAACTATAGCAGTTGCCGATGCAACAGCCACCACGCCGATTGCCCCTTCGAACCCCGCCTCGGCGACTGAGCCCACCGGAACGGTCGCGCTGAGCTCACCTTCAGCAACGCAAGGTACAACCAAACCCGAACCAACGGCCGGCACGACACCGAGTGCGCATGCGCAAGCCGGTGGGGATGAATCGACTGCGGCAGACCTAGGGATGGAGGTGGACACCACCACTACGGCAGATCTGCCTGCATAATTTACACCAACCTTGTTTTGATAGTTTCCGCACACACATCTCTCACACAAGAAAGAATCTGATAGAGAGTGTGGAAGACATCAAAACGTCATGATTTTTTGAAGAGTCTAACAAATGTTACCATATATATTAATAACTTAACTCATGCTTAAACAGTACATCGGGGCATTGGCGCAAATGGTAGCGCGCTCCCTTAGCATGGGAGAGGTACTGGGATCGATCTCATTACTCGAAGACCCACCCGGATGCTCCATGATTATCTTTTTTGCATCGTGTGTCTTTTGTTCTTGTTGTTTTTTCAAGTATTTTTCAAATCTGATTTATGTTTTGACTTATTGACCTACGGCGTCATCACATCGGGGCATTGGCGCAAATGGTAGCGCGCTCCCTTAGCATGGGAGAGGTACTGGGATCGATCTGTACCTCGAAGACCCACCCGGATGCTCCATGATTATCTTTTTGCTATCATTTTTTTAATCTCTGTTCGCCGGGTTTTCACTCACATGTGAATAAGTTCTGATTTTACTTGGTTTTTTGAGGTGTTTTCGTCAGCAACTAGCTGCTCGTTTTGATTGGCAAGACATGGGTATGTATGTCTTGGAACCTGCTGCTCAGGGCAGTCAGATGCTGGGTATGGCAGCCGGCTGTTCCAACTTCTGCCCGAGCGTGGCATACGTTTCGACACTACAGCACAAACACATTTTGCGCGCTCAAGCATGCAAACAGTGCGTTGAATTGACATGTGAGTTAACATGACATGTAAAAATTTGACATGTGAATCAGGTTTTTTTCCATAGAGCATAAAACCGTTCTGGGTTTACAGGCTTGACATGTGAATTTCTCGATTTTGCACGCGCAAATGGAGATATCAAACTTTTCCACTACTAGGTGGCCCAAGTGTCGGAATGATGTCAAGGTGCCCACAACCACCACACGTGCACCACACGTGCATCAGTTACAAACATGAATTGTTGGGTTGCAGAGTAGCAGATTGAGGTAAACACCAAGCGACACCGTAAGAACGAAAGAGAGAGAGAGAGAGAGAGAGAGAGAAAGAGAGAGAGAGAGAGAGAGCGAGGGAGGGAGGGAGAGAAGATACCGAACCAATCAAGGCCCAACATCAGGGCTCAGTACCGGACTAGAGGAGGGACGACGCAGCTAATCCAAGTACGTCTCCATAGGTGGGCAGGAGCAGACGACGTTCTGATCACCATACTTATCATCGACACGACCGACTGCGGGCCAGAACTTGTTCTGACGAAGCCACTCGGTTGGGTAAGCAGCCTTATCGCGCGAATACGAATGGTTCCACTCGGTCGCGAGTAGAGAGCCAGCCGTGTGTGGAGCATTGACCAGCACGTTATCTTCAGCCGGATACACGCCGTCCACGACCTCTTGGATCTCATGGCGGATCGTAATGAGAGCATCAAGGAAGCGGTCGAGCTCAGTCTTGCACTCGCTCTCTGTGGGCTCAATCATGAGCGAGTCGTTGACGGGCCACGACATGGTAGGGCTGTGGAAGCCAAAGTCTTGCAGGCGCTTGGCCACGTCTTGCACAAGGATGCCATGCTTCTTGAAAGCGGCGAAACTCACGACAAACTCGTGTGCCACACGACCCTTGGCACCACTACAAGGAGGGAGAGGGAGAGAGAGAGGCGGGGGCACAGAAGGAAGAAAGAGGCCGCGAGAGTGAGCAACACAAAGGCAGAAGCCAAAAGGGAAGAAGAAGAAGAGCAATCAGGAAGGAGCACGGGCAGGTGCATCCAACGTACCGGTAAGTGACGGGGTAGTGCTCAGCAAGACGGTCCGCCATGTAGTTGGCATGCAAAACGGCAACAGCCGAAGCGTTGCGCAGTCCACGCGCGCCCATCATGCGAATGTATGACCAAGAGATGGGAGTGATCAGAGAGGAGCCAAAGGGCGCCGCAGCAATGGGGCCACCGCTGCCCTGGTTAGGGCCCTCAATGATGGGGTGGGAGGGCAGATGGGGAATCAAGTGCTTCTGTAAACGGGGGAACGGGCGACATAAGCGAACGTGCATGTGCGGCCAAGACAGCTTTCTTTGACGACCACCGTGAAGAAGAAAGGCCACAAGAAAAAGGTTGCCTGACCTTGACGCCAATGGGGCCCATGCCAGGGCCACCACCGCCGTGAGGGATGCAAAACGTCTTGTGCAGGTTGAGATGCGAAACATCGGCGCCGTAGTCACCCGGGCGACACAGCATGCACTGAGCGTTCATGTTGGCACCGTCCAAGTACACCTGACCGCCGTGCTTGTGCACCATATCGCAGATCTCGACAATGTTTTCATCGAACACGCCATATGTTGACGGATACGTCACCTGCCCAAAACACAGTGAGGATGCAAGGGAGGCAGGGCCAAGATGAGTGAGAACGGTACGTTCGTGGCAAGCTGGAGCGGAAGGCGGCAGACAAGGGAAAATGGGTCTGACCATGATGGCACCAAGTTCTTTGCTGTGCTTCTCGCACTTGGCTGCCAGATCATCCATGTCAATGGCGCCATCGCCGCAGTTCTTGACAGCAACAATCTTCATGCCTGTGGATGAGTCATCAGAAGCAACAGTCAAGGCAAGCGAGCAAGACAACGCGCAGGCCAACGAGTACATGCGTTGCAAGAACGCACCAGCCATGGCAGCGGTGGCCGGGTTGGTGCCGTGTGCTGAAGCGGGAATCAGGCACACCTTGCGTTGGGGGTTGCCGCTGGAGGAGAAAAGTGCATGCATCAGGGGCGAGCCATGAGGCAACGAAATAGTTGGTACCGCCACGCTGTGGATGCAGAAAACTGAAGCAATCAAACGAACTTGGCAATGTGGTAGCCGCGGATGGTCATGAGGCCAGCCAGCTCGCCTTGGGCTCCGCTGTTGGGGTGCATCGTCACAGCATCGTAGCCAGTAATCTTGCACAAGTCCCTGCAGGTAGTAAGCATTGGAAAACCATAGCAAGTAGTATCGTAAGGGGAAAGTCATCGGGCCAATAGCAGTATACCAACCCGCTATGAAAGGGGTACACATAAATAATAGAAAGACGGGGCTTATTCCATTCAGGTACAGGACGAGGAGGAATGCGGGGAGGGGGGTGACACAAGGCCCGTACTCGGTGATTTCATCAAACATCTCCCAGTAACCCTTGGCCTGTTCTGAGGGCGCGAAGGGATGGAGGGCAGCAAACTCGTCCATGGTCACGACCTGGCACACGCCAAAACCATGAGTATGAAGCAAGTGAATGGTGAGAAAAAAAGGACAGAGAAGCAGCCAAGAAAACAAGACGCAAGAGATCACTCCCAAACGTGCTATCATAGTTCAAAACCAACCTCCATCTCAGTGGCCGCATTGAGCTTCATTGTGCATGAACCCAGGGGAATCATGCTGTGAACCAACGACACGTCCTTGTTCTAAACCGAATTGGAAGACAAGCAGGATTCAGGCAACAAAAATCTCAAAGACTGGGTAGCATGGCCCGCAGTCATAGCAAGACAGCCTTGCGCAAAAAAATGCGAAAAAAAAAAAAAAAAAAAAAAAAAAGGCTTGCGGACAAACCTCAAGATACTTGCAGTAGCGCATGAGCTCAGTCTCGGAATGCAGCGTGTTGAAGATGGGATGGGTCATAAAGGCGGACTTGCGAGCAAGAGCTCCAAAGTCGACCTCAGGGCAAGCCAGATCAGAGCAGTCAGCGCGCTCCACGCCCGTGAATACAGCAATGACGTCAGCCACATCACGCTCAGTCATGGCCTCATCGAAAGACACGCCGACGGCACCGTCATCAAAGTAACGGAAGTTGATCTGCTTATCAGCAGCACGCGCCTTCACCTCGGCCAAGTCCTTGGGATAGACGTGCAGTGTATCGAAAAACAGGCCATCGGACACGCGGTGACCGGCAGACACAAGTTCTACAAGCAAGAAGGAAGAGAAGAAGAAGAAAAAGGAAGAAGAGGAAGAAGAGGAAGAAGAAGAAGAAGAAGAAGAAAAAAAAGAAGAAGAAGGAAAAAAAAAAAAAAAAAAGTCAGAAAGCGATGAGATAGGTGGGGAGGCAGTGCATGGAAGCAATAACCGATACCTCTGGCCACAAGCACCAAAGCACAGACACACAAAAGAGGAAAAGCTGAAACTGACCGCTCTTAGTAGCCAGGGCGAGGCGATGAACACGGGTGGCAATTTGCTTAAGACCATCAGCACCATGGTACATGCCGTAGAGGGCGCTCATGTTAGCCAACAATGCCTGGGCCGTACAGATGTTGGACGTGGCCTTGTCGCGGCGAATGTGGGTCTCGCGCGTCTGAAGGGCCAGACGATAAGCCTTGTTACCGTTGGAATCCTGAGATAATGGACAGAAAGAGAGAGGTCTGTTTTTGAGACTGGCAGCAAGGGTGGTGCAAGCGTCTGGGTACGTCAGAGACAGGTTGTGTGCTCAAGCATACCCACCTTGGTCACACCGACAATGCGACCAGGCAGACGGCGCATATGCTGCTCCTTGGTGGCGATGTAGGCAGCATGAGGGCCACCATAGCCCATGGGAATACCGAAGCGTTGGACGGCACCGACGGCAATGTCGCAGCCAAAGTCGCCGGGGGCTTGAAGCAGCGTTAGCGAGAGCAGGTCGGCCGAGCATGCCGCAATGGCCTATCGGTAAGGGGCAGGGGCAGGGGCAGGAGCAGGGGCAGGGGCGAGCCAGTGAGCAAGTAGGTCGGTGTGCAAAGCAAGGTCTAGAATAGTATCAATGGACAACTTGGTCTGCCGGCAGAGCAAGCGTGTGCCCGGAGGGTCATGGGAAGTGGAGGGTCAAGCATTTTTGGTTTCAAACGGGCACGTACGCCGACATCATGAGCACGCTTCACAACATCGCCAAAGTCGCGAACGATGCCGCGGGTGTCGGGGTACTGGAATAGACAGCCCATGACGTCCTCATTGAACTCCATGTCTTCAATGCTGCCGACGCGAATCTCAACTTCAAAGGGCTCGGCGCGGGTCTTGATCAGAGCCAAGGTTTGGGGGTGGAGCTGTTCATCAACCAAAAAAACGTTGCGCTTCCTGGACGGCGTGGTTGGCAGGCACAACAAGTGTCGGGGCATGAGTGGTGCTTCACTTGAGCATCATCTTCTTGCGAGGTTGGGGAGGAGGCAAGGCATGCGTACTTGTTGATGCTATAAGCCATGGAGAAGGCTTCAGCGCCCGCCGTGGCTTCATCGAGCAGCGAGGCATTGCTAACGTCGAGGCCCGTCAAATCCTGAATCATGGTCTGATAGTTGACGAGTGACTCCAGGCGGCCCTGGGCTACCTCGGCCTGGTAAGGCGTGTAAGGCGTATACCTGTGGCAACCAACTTGGTGAGTCACCGCGTGTGTATGGTGGCAAGGAGGTGCACCCAGTGACAGCTTCTTGGTTAGACGAGGGAGGCCCTACCAGCCAGGGTTTTGAAGTACGCAGCGCTTGATGACGCTGGGCGTGATGGTGCCGTAGTAGCCCATGCCAATGTAGGAGCGGAACAGATCGTTCTTGTCACCAAGCTGCTTCAGGCGACGCAAGACCTGGCTCTCAGCTAACGTCGTGCCGCGTGTGGGTCGAGGGCAAGTGCGCATTGTGCATGCAAATATGAGAGAACGATGCGAGAGAGAAGTGTAATGACAATAAGTGGCGGCAAAAGCAAAAACAAAACAAAAACAAAAACAAAAATCACTTACTCATGGCTTCGCCGAGGTCAGGGAGAGACTTGAGGCGAATCTGCTTGGGAACCGTGTTGCTCAAAAATTGTTCCATGGTCTGTGACCAGGGGCGACACCCAAGTTCATGTTGGAGATGGTGGGTGCAGAAGCAGCTGCGGGAACATGGCGAGGGCTCGGGTGCAGGATAGGCGAGCGCACCTGAAAGCCCAGCGACTCGAGCATCTGCTGGACCTCCTTCTCGTCCGAGCCAATGTGACGGTGCTCAAAGACATCGCAGGGACGGACCCAGTCTGCGAAAGAGTGAATGACACGAGATGTGATGAGTATGAGCCAGGATCGGTAGGCCTGATCAAGGGTAGCGATTAGCTCATTTGCTGAGGACCTTGTTGGTTGACGAGGCGAGCCGTTGAGTCAAACTCGACGTGTTGGCAAGCCCGGCGGGCAACGCGGAGTTGGCGTTGCTGAAGCAGAGCAGGTGCCACGTTGAGGAGCTGGGGTTGACGAGCCTAAGACATGTACATCAAGGAGGAGTAAGTTGAGGTTGGGGGGTGATGGGACGGCGGGCAGGGCCCGAAGAAGCGTAGCCGGCCTGTTTATGACACCATTCTCACCAAAGGAGAAAGGTTGGCCGCAGAGCGGCGTAGAAGGCGAGTGGAAGCCATATCAGCGTGTGTTGCTTGAAAGGCGTCAACTGCGGTCGGATCCTAATTAGGAAGAAGCGCACATTTCATTTCACACGTCGTCAAAGGCGTGAGTGACGCGGAGGTGTCTTGTTGGTCTCGTTGCGGCGGACGAGGCGATGGGGCTGGGAAAGGGCAAGGTGACGCACCTGGCGTGATAATAGCACGCGGCAGCGGAGGCAACAGGGTGGGTGCTGCAGTTCAAAGCAGGGTATGCTTGGTCCTAAAGAATGCAGGGCACGAGTCGCGTGCGCGATGAGAAGGGATCGCCGACACACACGACTCGACGCGAGAGCATTGAGATTTGAATGGCGTGCGTGTCACCAGCCAGCAAACCGATGCGCAGCCGAGCCAGACCTCGGACCAAAATCCACGACCACAACCCCAAACACCCCCCTTCCACCGTCGACCGTACCTGCTCCCGCGCACACCCCGTCAGGTCAAGTCAGTCAGTCGGTCACGCGCTGCTGCACACTGGACCTGTCAACTGCACTGCACCACCATGCGTTATGTGTGTGTGTGTATGTGTGTGTGTGTTTGTCTCTCTCTTCTTTCTCTTCTCTGGTTTCTTTTGCTTTGGCAAGGTTGTGTAGTCGTTTGGTTGTTCTGCGTCTCTCTCTCTCTCTCTCTGTTAGAGAGTGGCTTTGTGTCTTATCTCTTGTTTCTTGATCCCTCTCTCTCTCTCTCTCTCTCTTTCTCTCTCGTGTGTGTGTGTGTTGCAACATTTGATTCGATGCTGTGGGATGAGAAGAGAGAGACCAATCGTTGGCCATTTGGTTGGATGGTGCCGGTCGCACTCCGTCCATTGGTCGCACTACCGGGGTGTTGAGAGGTCCAGAGGTCCAGAGGCCATGTGGCCGTTTTATGTCTTGTGTGTGATCGTTGCTGACCACACCACACCCGACCTAATGTCTTGCTGCAACACTTGGTCCTGCTGGCGACGGTGCCCGGTGAGATCCCAGAACCACTGAAATCAATGCAATTTCTAACATTGAGGAGGTTAACAAAGCTGCAGTTACTTCAATTACTGCTACATGTTTGTGGGTTGCAACCATGGTGTCGCAATGGGGCAACACAATCAGCGTTACATTGCGAAATGATCACATTACATTTGGTAATTGTAAGCATAAATTTTCATTCAGCGGTTGAAGACCGGTCACTGCGTTCGCGTATCGGTTGGCTCCACCTCGATCACCTCCACGGGCGCGGCCGCTGTGGCTGGGGTGGCCGCTTCTTGCAGCGCACGGACCTGCGTTTCCAGGGCCAGGAGGTGTTCGTCTGGGTGATCTGGGGCAATGTCTCGCATCGCTATTACCAGATTCATGAGGTAATCAATGTTCGGGCCCGAGGGTCCCCGACTCTCAGCAATCGTCTTTGCAATCTGTGCCAGCGGTTCCTCGCCAACAAACTCCTCGTTGTCCTCGGTTCCCGTGTACACAAGAGCCAGGCGAGAGCTGCCATCGGCCTGATAAAACTGCAGCTCTAACAAGCTATAGCCACCCTTTTCTCGGTAGTCGAGGTGGGCCATGACCTCGTCCACCTGTTCTGGTGCAATGCGATAGGCCTTGCCCCAGACCCGCTCTCCCGGTGCTGGGACCAGCGTCACCACACGACCCGGCGCTTCTACATCCACCGGCACCAGGCATCCCACCAGCACGTATGTGGGCAGTATGCAGTAGCGTCATGAGCGAGGTACACGTGCCCAACACATAGTCAGCCCAGTCCGCACGCACACAGACCTGGTACGCCACGGTGGTCTGTTGAGCGCTGCCAGAAGCGACGAATGTATCCGTCAATGTAGCCCGGTATCACCTCTCTAGTACAGTTACATCAAATGACAAGATGCGGGCGAGTCAGGCTGCGGAGTGCAAGCCTCGGAAGCAGCGACAAGGCACCCCTTCCCACACACACACACACACACACACACACACACACACACACAAAACACAACTACAGCAACTAACAACAACGAACAACTACAACAACTACATCAGCATGAGCGGGCACACCAGAGTCCCTGCAAAAGAGACCCCCAGTAGAGGTTGACTCACGCATAGGGGAAGTCAACCTTCCAGGTCAAGCTGCCATCTGCACATCGTCCCAGTCCAGTCACACTCATGAGCCAGTTGTGAAACACGTCAATGGCCGTGTGGGCCGTCACAAAGCTTGTCCCACCCCTTCCCCCCCCTCTCTCTTCAGCCATGCGCTACGTACAGCCAAAGATCCAGAGCGGGTCCGGCCAGGGGCGACCCTGCCTCGACTCGCTGGGAGGTGCATACGGCATATTATTTATCCTTGGCTCCGTCTCCGTTCCTTCGTTCGCGCGGGCGTCGTCGCACGTCACTTGCAAAGCAAATACGCGAAAGACGAAGCAGGCACAGATGGTACTACAACAACCATTAAAATCGATTCAACTTCTAGCACTATCACGACCTTTGCCAATACACAAACTTCATATATAACAACAAAAACCCCAAGGCACTGCATTCATCAAGCAAGCGAAATCAGTCACCATATTCAAAATCCGGGGGTCCAACTCGGCCTCTCCCCTTTTGTTGATAAATCAGAAACGAATGTGTGGTAGAAACTACCCACGAGTATGCCTCAAGTGTCTTCTACGTGTGGTGATTGTAACACATAAACCGTGCCAACCACCGGTGAGCGTGTGGTCAGACGCGCGTGTACGTGTGGCAGAGTGCTCGTATGGGTGTTGGCCGTGCTGCCTGCTGCTGCTCTCCCATTCATTTCTCAGTGATCGCTGCGCAGCGATTCACGGGGCGGGACCCCCCCGCGTTTGCTTTCTGAACCGTCTGCTGGTCGGGCTTCAACACAAACACGGCAGCAACCAAATCTTTAGCACCAGCACCAGCTTTGGGGATAGCGTCCGAGCAGGGGTGTTGAAGCACCCGGCTCGACCGCCAGCTTGGACCCTGAGCCATGGCGGCCCAGTCCTCAGACGTGTCGGCGCAGTTTTCTGTCTTTTCCTTTCTGAATAGCATTCAGCCACCCAGCTCCCCTCCCCAAGAAGAAGACGAACCAGGTACGTTCAGCACCGCCTCTGCTTGTTAGCCAATCATCTTATCCCTTGCCAGACAACCCTCGAGGCGTGCAGCCTGCCACCTTTCACCAACGAAAGCCTGCCTTGGCTGGCTCCACTGCCTCTCACCTCTCATTTGCTCGCAACACCATGACTATGCTAGCTCTGACTCGGTATGCTACTGGTGCCTGGATTGAAGCGACCTGTGACTCGGGCGGGGATGCCGATACCTCCACCCCAGCCTTTCAAGGTCCGTCCTTCTTCCCATCTACGCCCTGCCTTGGGCGGCCAGATTGCAAGCCGTCCTTGCACTTGATGTGCAGCTTCTTTGGGCTTTCTCTTGGGCCTCGTGCGCCTGGCGAGCTCACGCTTGTGCCATGTCAACCTCACCCTCATGGCCGATCTGATCGGTGCCCATCTCCAACTATTAGAGGGCGACCTCTTTCAAGTCCTCAAACACCATGCCAATGGCTGGCTGGAGGTTGAGCAGGGCTACCTCTGGCCCACGTGGGTCCAACCCCTTGCCGATGCCACAGAGACTCTGGACCAGCCCGCTTCGGCGCCACAGCTGCATCCCGAGCTTGAAACACAACCTGTACGTGGCCACGAACCTGAACCCACATCAGAAACCGAAACCGAGCTCGAGCCTCAGGCAGCACTAGCATCTACGCAGCCCCTTGTTTTGCCTCCTTTGGATACCTCCCCACCCTCAGCGCCCCCTTCCACCAGTAACGATGATTTCTTTGCCAATCTTCCCGACTATGCGAATCAACCGAGCGAGGGTGAGTGCGCCAGCCTCGCCGCATACATTGAGATACGCAAGCCCCACATTAACCAAAAAAAAAAAAAAAAAAGAAAAAAAAAAAAAAGAAAAAGAAAAAAAAAAGAAAATCCCCACTCGCCTCACAGTCCCGTGTCCTGCCCGTCCGTAGAAACCGAGCTGTTGCAGGTTCGCTTGACTCGGCTCAAAGGCTCGTTTGGCTTGCAGATTGCCGGCGGTCACGTAGGCGTCGGCGTTTATGTCAAGGCCTGTCGCAAGGGCGGTGCCGCTGCTCTCGATGGTCGCATCCTCAAATATGACCAACTCATGCGCATCGACGATACAGACGTGGAACACGCTTCACATGAAGAAGTTGTGCGACTCATCAATCAGTGCGGCCCTTCGGCTCGCCTCACCCTCCGCCGTTCGCGCCACAACAGCGATGTCCGCTCTCAACTCAAAAATAGCAAGTCTGCTTTTCATTTGACTCTCCAAGGCGTTGGCGATCTCAACACCACCACCGAGCCAAGCGACTGGACTCAGGTCCCACTCCGCAACAAGTCCAGTCCCCGCCGCGCCGCCCGCACCCACTCTTTTCATGCCGCCCCCGGGCCCTCGGTGCGATCAAAGCCCGCCCCGGTCTCTCTGTCCAGTGCACGTCCTAGCAGGCCCCCGGGGTAGCACGGGTCCTCTCTTGTGTTCGCGCCCCCGGTCATCGTCAGTCTTATTCTCGCCGTGCCCCTTATCCTTTGTCTATAGGCTGATCTTCTGGCGGCGGCGGGTGCGTTGCTTGCAACCGATGCTCCTGGCCCTGCATTAAAACCCGCCGCCGAGTTGGGTGCCTCCCCTGAGCGTGCAGTACGTCATTTGCAATTGGTTCCCACCTGCTTGTCGATTGCTTGACTCTTCCATGACGACCCACTCCTGTTCAATGGCATTGACCAAGGCACACCCTTTTCGTCTCAATAGCGGTGTATTTCACGTTTGATTGTGTCGACGGGCATAGGTTGTGCAGTCGCTGCTTTTTGGTTCCCGCAAGTCCTCGCAACAGTCCGTCTCACTCGAGAATAGCGCCGAGCCCTGCCACCTGGATTTGGCTCTGTCGCCGCAAAATGCAGCTCGCATTCAATCAAGCGGGTCACAGCCTCAGACTCCTGCCGTCGACGATGATGACACCGAGTTTGGCTTTGGATCAGCCATTGATGACCTCAGCGCCGAGACCGCCGCCACCTCTCCCCCGCACACGCGCTCTGCGGTGCTCGTGCTTCAGGACACCGATGAGGAAGATGACAGCCATTTGAACGAATCGGCCGTTGACCACGGGACCGCACCACCCTTGCTGAAGAGTGCTTCCAATCGGTCTGTCCTCGACCCCCCCGAGCATTCTGTGGGTACGGCAGCCTCTAGCCGGACCATGGGCGCATATGGTAGTCTGCAAACCACGCCTGGTGCTGTCGGTGATCTGGGGCAGCTGGCAACGGCCTTGGAAGACGTGCACAAAGCCTTACACTTGGAGGGATGGCTGATGAAGCAGACGGTTGGCCGCAAAAGCAGCGTTCTGAGGAAGCGACCTTGGCGTCGCCGTTACTTCATCCTTCAAGACACCATTCTCAAATACTACAAGCACATTCCGCAGGCCGGCGAGACAGCAGGTGTGTTGGCGTGGCAATGTGCCTGCTTCTTGCCTGTCATTCCGAAACGGTTCAGTGCAAGTGTGCCTTGGTGGTGCCTTCTGCCTGACTTGATCCGTTTGGTAGCGGGCTACGTTGTATTGCGTTCCACAGACTCTGTGCATCTGGCTGGCAACGATCGGACGCTGCTTCTTGCCACGGACAGCACCGACCTGAACCTCATGGCATCTTCCAAAGTTTGTTTCAAACGCACTGTTGCCCCCGAGCTAGTCGCAATATCGACCATGCGCGACACAGATCTGTTTGACCGTCATTGACTCCATTTTGGCATGTGCAGGACGAATCAGAGGAGTGGCGACGCGTTTTGAATGCGGCCATTTCCTTTCAGCAAGCTCGCCCACAAGCCTCTCACATTTCTTCTTCGATACCTCCGGCAGCGGGTGGCGGCGATGGTGAGAGCAAAGAGGAAGAGGACGAGGACGATGATGAAGGAGAAGAAATGATGCAATGACCGGATGGAGCTCTAAAACCGACCCACACTCCACTCAACTATTGAAGATGGAACATTAAATTTTGATCCCTACGTGGCTGTGTCTGGCCATAGTCAAGTGATGAATCTGTGCTTTGTCGCTTGCCTGACTGCTTCAGCAGGTTTATTTTTTTTTTAATTGATGTGTCGAAGTTATTCCCTCTTTTTTTTTTTTTTTCGTCTTTCCCTTTTTCTTTATTTGGTGAGAACACCGTCGCTGGATGGCCAATGTGCAGGTGCACAGTGACACCATATTAGTGCCCAGGGCTGTCATTGTCATCACCTTCATCGTCGCTCCACCCGCTTGAGCCACCAAAGAGGCTCTCTGCCAGAGCAGCGGCCAATACGGCCGCGCGGTGGCGTCGCTGCTCGTCGGGCACATGCTGGCTGGACTCACGAATCTGTCGAAGCGCATCAGCCAGATTGGACAGGTCAAATTCTTCATCATCTTCTGTGTCATCTTCAGCATCACTTTGATCATGGTCCTGGTCACCATCCGCTTCCTTGTCAGTCTGCGCCAACTCAGCTGCATTCGCGACGGCTGCCTCGTGTTCCATAGCTCGGACAACATCCGTTTGTTGTTTCATGCGAACCAGCCCCTGAACAACATCCAGGCCGGACAAAGTGTGAGCAAAAAACAGCCGCCTGTCCTTCGATTGAGGCAGTGCACTTGAGCACAGGGGGGGGGTCCGGGGAACGAGAACCATATCCCACCTGTAATGCCGTCTGAAGGAGAGCATCGTGGGGTTCGTCTGATTCGCTCTCGCCTTCCGTCGAGCCATCATCAGCGGATGCAGCGGCCTCAATTTCTGTGAGTGCACGGGGGAAGCAGCCCGGTCAAGGCATTGGCAAGGGCGCTTGGACTCTATCGGACAATACAGACACGCGTGGAATGGAGACTCACCCATGGAATCGAGAAGGCCGCGACTGGGCACGTTGACGGCCGCTGAGGCGCGTCCGCTTGCTTCGACTGGAGCCATGTGTTCCCACATGTGTGCTGTCAAAGCTTCGGCCAGGCGCCCGACGCCCAAATCGGGCTGCACGCAGAACGATAAGATCAAGCATGTTAGGAGGCACGTCCCGCAATGTAAGTCTTGCTCAACGACCGACCTCTTCAAATCCAAGGTCGAGAGCGTCGTCCAGGGGTAGTTCGGCATGTACAAGCTCCAAGCTTTGCTCTTGGCACCACACGGGCAATGCACCTTGAGCGCTGCCATAGTCACGGTGCCTAGAATGAAGAGTGAATACAGAAAGAGAGAGGGAGAGGAGCAAAAAAGAGAGAGAAGCAAAAAACAGAGAGAAAAGGTTGAATGAGTTTGCCGCTTCTAAGATAATAGAGGTTGCTCTGATCCCCTTCCAGTTGGTGCTTGCGGCAAAGGCGGACGTACGTGGGGGCTGCGGCAGCAGCTACATCGTAAAAAAGTCGCAGGGCTGGATCATGGTTCTCCACGGCCTCAAGCAACAACTTCAAGTCTGTCGGCAGAGGCTAAGAAACAAAAAGCAAATACATGAGCTACACAGCTGAGGCTGGGGCGACTGCGCTTGCTGCGCAACTCAACTGACGGCAGAACGATCGACAACGAGGACGACGGCATCGGCTTGCTCCAGGTGTTGCGCGACTGTGGCAGCCTCAGGTAGGACAACTAATCTGTCGACCACGTCCAGCAGGAGAGACGTTGAACCCATGTCTGGCGATTGGATGGCGCGAGGGCGCCGCGCAAGGTGTCAAAGTACCTGATATCGGCTGTGTAGTACTTTGTCGCGACGGGCCAGATCGTTTCTCGGGTCGTCGGTACAGGCAAGCGGTCCGCGTCGATGTCAGCTTTGGTGCTGATGGTGGTGAGCTGTCGCACCACATCTTGTGCCTTGGCGTGGTGCGCATCATCCAACGCTACCAGCAGCACCTGCACAGATAGACATGAAGCCTTTGTGAGACCGCACCAACTCTCCACAAAGTCCCATTCCTGCCCAAAGCACATCGAGCCGGGTCCATCTGCACGCACCGAGTCTCTCATGTTGCTCGATTTTGATCGCCTGCTTGCTACTTGTACCAACAGGTTAAAGTCAGAGAAATTGTGTGTGAAAGAGAGAGAAAGAGAAAGAGAGAGAGAGAGATGAAATTGTGTGCGTGAGTGTCTGTGTGTGAGAGAAATTGAGAGAGAGAGACATGACACAAGTTGTGGTTCTTTTTATTTTTATATTTCTAGAGGAGGGAGCTACAAAGGGCGGGGTTTGAAGCTGGAGGTGTGGGAGCAGGTGGGGGAGTGGTTGGGGGTTGAATGTCTAGCCGTGTCTGCGTGATCGACTGACGGTCGGCGTTGACACAAGGTTCTTATCGGTTTGGGATTGGGAAGTTAAACCTGATGCGAGGAGCACACGATCGACAAGCAAGGGCAGAAAACGGCTCATTCCTTGTGTGCTATCAAGGCATAAGATACGAATGGCCAGATCGCAGAGCATCACGGGTGAACTCGGGTCAATTGTCAGGACATGAGGCAGGTCGTGAATCACAAACAGGACAGCGACGGCCTCTAGGGCACGCCTACAGGGGTGATGGAGCCACATGGAATTACAGGGCAGTTAAAACAGTATAGCAAGTCAAGATGGCTTGAAAATCAGCAACCAAAGGCAGTCTGAGCTCGCACATTTGGCACACGATGGAAGTAATGCAGAGAGCAGCACCGTCTAGTCGAGAGCACCCTGGATGAGGGCCCCCGACGTGAGCTCAAAGTGTGTTGAGTGGGAGGTTAAAGTGGGCTGGTTTCGCTCGACTGCAGGCGTCGGAGACATGAGGTCACGATAGGTGGTATTGTGCGCATGTGCACCCTCAAAGGTGAGGTGGTTGCGAGGCGGAGGCGCCTTGGCAGCCGTTGGCGATGGCGCTTGAAACATAACCCTGCAGCAGATGCAGTCAGCAACGGCCCGGAGACGAAGTCAGGGCTTCTATCAGAACAATGTGCGGCGGTTTGACATGGTGAGGGAGCTCATTTATGCACCACGCACCGATTTGTCGTCTCGCGCTCAAGTGGAGCGCTTGAGGGATGAAAGGTTGGTCCACGGGCCAGCTGGGGCTTCTGTGTCAAAAGACATACGCCATGTGTTTGATTTGGCAGGGAAATGAGGGCGGTTTAGCCTAATAGACAGCTAATACATGTCGAACCAAGTTGCATGATGCAGGTGGCACCATCGCATATCAAAGGCATCACGTACGGGCTCAGACCAGCCGGGATAATGTTCACGGATGGTGGTTTGAAAGTTGCGCTCGCCTGTCGGTTTAAGAGCGGAGTTTTTGCGCAAATTGGCACGACGCTATAGGCGCACAAGCCAACGTTAGGGCTGATGGGTACTCTTTCTAAGAAAAAAAAAAAAAAAAAAAAAGGCAAGCCACAAGTGGGTTGGCCAAGGCATTGCTTCGATGGGCGACATACCTCAGCTTGCTGGCCCAAAAAGTCATTTTTGGCTGTGGTATGACCATGGAAATTGGCGCCGTCGGGTTTGAGAGCTTCGCCAGCCCGGCTGGGAAGCTTGATGGCTTGCGTCTAGACGGCAGGAGTGGACGCAGCAGCTTGGTATGAGTCGTATGTACCAGCGGTCCAGAATGGTCCTGGGCCGCAAGGCAAGGGCGGAGCTTGATTCATGCGGGTCAGTCAAGACTCACCCGCTCGCCTTGCCAGGTCTGCAGGTCAGTGCTGGTTGTGGTCCTGTCGGAAAACACCATCCGCAGGGCGTCAAGCTCAACCGGCAGCTTCGGGAGATAGATAGCATGCAGAGCAATAATGGACGGTTGGGGCAAGGTGGGACGAACCGAAAGTCTGCCGCCCCCTCAAAACGTTGGTGGTCGACAGGTGCACGCTGACGCTCCGACTGCATCAACACAAGTTGATGCGAGCAATGCCGGCGCAATTCCATTGATAGGAAACGCAGGTGATGAGGATGGGCCAGTTGGCAGGGTATGATTGAAAAATTGAAGCATGGTCCAACGTTTCTGACCTTGGCAGCATATCCAGGAAAATCTTGCTGAGTCACTGTGCGGGAGATGCCCGGGGCATTGGGAGAGCGCATGGTTTCACCAGTGCGAGTACTTGGGCGGACCAGCTTTTCCTACATCATATGCAGTGGTGGATCAACAGTGACGAGGGCGTTGGCAATGCAAGCACACAAGGGAGACAAACCGGTTGGTGATTGCGGATGGGTCGATGTTCGGCTTTGGATGTGATAAAGTCAGCCTTGCCCTCGAAACGGTTGTTATCCTTCGGGGCAGCTTGGCGATGAGCCTGGCAAGCAAGGTTTTGCGTGAAAAAAAAAAATAAAAAAAAAAAAAATGAGGTACCATTGTCGCTTGCGCACACCACAAAGGCAGATTTGTTGGCTTGCACTAGGCCAATGCGGGAGGGGGAAGCTTTAACCTGAGCTTTGTGGCCGGGAAAATCGGAATGCGTCACAGTGCGGGTCACTGGAGCCGTGTTCGCAAAGTGCAACGCCTCGTACGTCTTGCTAGCTGGACGGATGGCTTGTGTCTGCGGGCCGATGGGGGTCGATAGGCAGCGTCGACGTCACCATCGAGACACGGAGGGCATCACGACAAGAACCAAGGTCAAACGGGCGCAAGACTACCACGAAAACACGTGGCGCATGGTCAAAAGAGCCGACCTTTTCCGCGGCGACAGGGGGTGCGTGGTGGAACCGTGTGGTGGTGGCATAGTCGGTGGCTCCTTCAAACCTGTTATGATCTTGAGGCTTGGGCTGACGTGTGGCCTGCGCCCGCGAATGCCAGATAGGGATGTCAGCGAGGAAATATTCTTCCCAACTAGAGGAAGGAGGGGAAGTCATTAGCGTGCACTTACACCGCCACGGTGACCAACAAAGTCGGTCTGAGTGACTGTGCGGTTCATTTTGAGGGCATCTGAATAGGAAAAGGCCTCTTTGGCTCGGGCTTGTGGCGGGCGGGCGCGTTCCGTCTATGCAGAGTGATTCAGCGCGTCGTGCATGAGTTGGGCCTTGATTAATCATCAAAAGCAGTGTAGCTGGCACCGGCGCCTGTTGCTTACCGCTGCGCCATGAGGCTTGGATGCAAAGTCGGTGCTGGTCGTGCTGCGGTCTGTCATGCGATAACGCTCGCGAAAAGACGGCTTGTTTTGCCCACCGCCTCGCCCCTGTTTCTCAAGCGCCCGATGAGCATGACATGGCATTCATAATGCCATTGTGCCCGCGCAAAGGTACAGATCGAGTGCCACATACATTGGCAGCAGCGGCACGCTGGGCGGCCTGGGCGCTGTGACAACCACCAGGCGTACAAAAAAAGAAGAGTGTTGAGTTTTTTTTTTCGGTTCAGGCCAGCACCGGGCTGCAGCAATGCGCTTTGGCGCAAACGTACGCATAGCTGGGCATCTTGGGGGTGACTGGGCCAGAAGAGTTTTTGATATTGGTGAGCTGGTTCACGCAACGCGGGCTGTTCAGATGGGACCACCAACGCCGGCCCCCCGCATCCGCAAAGATGGTGTGAGTCAATCGGAGCAGCAAGTAAAGAGAGGCCGAGGAGAGAGACAGCGAGATAGAGGAGCCAGCAGGGGGAGCAGCGGAAATGGGCGGTCGGGGCAAGAGGCTTGTCTCACCGCAACGCGGTTCAGGGGTATGGCAGAACGTGGTTGTCGGGACTATTGCGGTATAGTTGGGGTTGTCGGGAGGTCGGAAGCTGGGTTGGGGAGGGGGTAGGTAGGGTGGGTGTGGGTGTGTCTATGTCAAAATGGCGGAGGGGGCATCTGCTTGAGTACCTGGCTGAGCCGAGACGATGGGTGCTCCAACGCGTCCTGTCCTGCCGAGGGGGCCTGGTGTACAGCTACAGCAGAGGACGGGTCAACCCGATCGCCAGGTGAGGCGTGTCATTGCACAACGAGGCGAGCCATGCGTTCGCATCCCGCACCGCAGAGAGAAAGAAGTGCGCTAGAGATGTGTGTTGTGTCTGCTATGAAATCAAGGTCAGGTGGGCTGATCTATGCTGCACGGGTCGTGAGTGCTTGGGGTTTTTGTCTTGGCGTGCGTCAGATCGACTTGTGAATGAGCCTGGTTGCATGCGGTGCTGATCATGAGTCGAACGTGACTGCGGGTGCGCCGGCCAGGCCCCGAGGGCGCTGCCGTTTTCTCCCTTCAAACCAGCGAAACACGCTGACACCTTCCCGGTAGTCACTTGTTGTCGCTAAAACTCAACTTATTGCAGTATCAAAGCGGCAGATAACGTTAGGTTTAGAAGATGTGTGGCGATGATATTGTCGATGAGATTGCGGACATGAGGGGGTGGCGGGCTTTTTGTTTGGTCTCTACTTGACAACCAAGATGTCACAACAGCCAGAAGGATGGGATGAGAGGGGGTTGATGAACATGTGAATGCTCAAGACACGAGTCGACTCGCTTCCAACGGCAACGGGAGGAATTCAGAAAATGAAGAACGAACGCATCAACATGCAGTCAAAGAAGATAAGACAAGGGGTCAGGGCAAGCAAGCATCAATTGTCTGAGGTGCACGATGCGACCAACTATAAACATCCACACCGAACACATGGGCACAAATTGTTGATTGCCTCTCCACAATGGCTGCCAGCCACGTTACACGGCAAGCAGCATCGAGATGGCAACCTCCTGAGTCAGGCACAAGCCAGCAAGCTAAACCTCCTCGGGCCATACTTAGATAGCTGTATAGGAAGACTTGGATTCTTGACGACTCAAGGCCAAGAGAATATCGTCACGACTCCTGTGTCGCACGTGTCAATTAAAAGTGGCGCGTGAGAATGGCATAATCAAGACACATAAAACAGGGCGGAGGCATCGACCCGGCTCACATACTTGCGACGCTTGGCTCCTGTGCTTGACGAGGGCTGCCCGCCCTGCGGCGCTGCAGGCACAGGTACTCCCAGGTCCACGGAACCGCGCTTGGAGCCCGAGTCAGACGGGGATTCCATCGAGCGCCACTGCATGCACCGCCATCGGTCGATCAACAGACACCACCAAACGTGAGCTACCATGTGCCAGCCCCGCACACAGATATGCCATCCGCAAAGGAAAGAGAGACAAGCGTGCCTACGTGCCCACCCGCCAGTCTAATCTACTACCAACCGCCTCTGTGTGCCTCACGAGCTCAAAGTGTACACATACCTCGCTGGCTGTGTTGGTGCGCTGGCGAAAGCGCATCACGCGTGAAACTGCCATTTGAGCTATGAACCGATCGACGAGCGGACAAACTTCCAGGTGAGTTTGGGTGCGTCACGCGGGGCAATCGGGCCGAGGCACACAAGTGCCGTTGCATGCCAATGCGCGCATCATTTGGGGCCGGGCACACGCACCCTCAAGCATCGAGTCGGAATCCGAGCCCAGGTCATCGTGCAGAGACAAAGGTTGGTGCACAACCGGGCGCTGAGGTCGTGGTTCTACAAGACGCGACGCCTCGCGAGACGGCTGGCGACTTGTTTGCCGGCTGGCGGGGCGACTGCTGGGCTGGCTGGCAGGGCGACTCCCCAAACGACTACCTGGAGCACTCGAGGGGCGACTGGACGAGCCATCCTTGGTCTCCAAGGCGCGTAAAGGCGACTGAAGGCGGTCCACCAACCGTGCTCGGCCCACCTCAGTCAGGTCATCAAAAATGCTCGAGGCATTGCTAGCCGAGCGGGCACGGTCAGGTGATTCATGGCTCGAGAGAGCGGCCAGGCCAGCTAGCGTCGAGACAAAGTCATCCGATGCTCGCTTGGAAGGAGCACGACTTGACGTGGTAGAGGCACGCTCACGTTCACGGGTGGGCTTTTTCACGCGGCGCGCTTGTCGACGCGCAAACCGCGAGTTGAAGCCCTTGGGGTGAAAGCCGCGATCGGAGCCCACATCATCCTCTTCATCCTCCAAGTCAGCGTCCGCTTCACCTCCCTCGGGATGGCTAGAACGATCGTCTAAGAAGCGTTCTCGGTGTTCCACATCATCACTGGCTTCCGAAGCACTGGCACGCGACAGCTGACGACCGCGCGGTGGGCGAGCCCGCCCGACACGGTCCAAAAAGTCGCCGCTACTGGCGTTGGAAAGATCAAGTAGATCAATTTTGGACATTTCTCGGCTTGAGTGGTCGTACATGGCTTGGCTCAGGCTCGGATCGAGGCACAGCTGCTGTCCAGCTGAGGTGACGAGAGTGGCCAACATGGATGAGCGGCGCCGAGGCCGCGGTTCGGCTAGCACAATGTCCGACCCATCTTCGGGGATCACGGTGCCCAATATGGCATCGGACGTATATGAGCCAGCGTTGGAATCATCGTCCCCGCCGCTCACCGCGCTCCAGCCCACCGAGCCGCGACTGCGATTTAAGCCCGTGGATGCATCCAATCCATTGTCTTCAGCCGAGGTCTGGGCTGAGAGCGGGGCCTGGGCAGCGGTCGATGGCTGGGGTGCAGGGGCTGCAGTACCAGCCGTCATGCTCGAGCTCGGACTGGCCTTGCCAACTGCAGATTCAAGGGCGTGCCTCCAGTTGGCTGAGTTGGTGCGCTTGCGTTGCACTTCCGCCTCCGATGTAAAATCCATCTGTGGGGGCGGGTGCGATGAAAACGGCATTGGCTTCATCTCGCGCATCGTGCGTGATTTGTTAACATTCGCGTTGGGCGAGTTTGTCGGTGGACCCGCACTCTCGCTGCCGCTGTCCATCGACTGCTGGCGATCTTTCATAGCACGCTGCAGCGTGGTGACGAGTTCATTGCTGTTCATCGAGGCCGATGAAGAGGCGGTGGTCCCTGTGGCAGCCGCTGCAACCGCGTCCTGCGTGGTTGGTTGTGCCAGCGGCACGTCTGGGTCCTCGAACTTCAGTGCAATGTATTTGGCGCGGATGTAAGCCTCGCGTTCTGCATCCGAGGTGGCCTTGGTTGGCTTGGATACTTCTGGATGTTTGCTCAGGCAGCCCTCGTACCGTGCATTGACACGCAGGTTGCCCCTCGTACGCATAAACTCGAGGATGTCCGTGGGCCAGCGATCCAGCAGGACGGATCGCACCTTGCTAATGTGTACGCCCAAGCTCCGGTGCACGCCGCTGCAGTTGATGCACAGTACAATGCCGAGGTTGATGGAGGCCCACTCCACATCGTCATTGCCACAGTCGGCACAAGTGTCGTTGCCCTCAATCTCTTGCAAGTATGCCGCCGGGTTGATTGTGACATCACCGTCCTTTTTGTCGGCATTCCCGTGATCCAGTGCGGCAGCAATCCCTGCGTTGAGAGCCGCAATCCACTCACTGTATTCGTGAGGACCCAACGCCTGTAGAAGCAGGTTCTCGTTGGGAGTCACCACCTCGAAAACATGGTGACGCTCGTGCGTCAAGAGTTGCTTGACTGTGGACAGCAGCAAGGGTGCCACCTCAACGACTTCGCCTATGCAAGCAAACAAATGAGAATCGGGGAGCTTGCAGCGCCTTGCCCTGTCCTTTACGCCGGCTACCCACGCCTGTCGCCATGCCAAGGCGGCCTACCATCGGGTTCCACACGGCAAAGGGTGTTGCCTCGGATCGTAAAGCTCTCGATGCGCCACCGTTTGTCCTTGCTCCGTCTATCATAATGGGCAACAGGATCAATCATGGAGGTGCAGTGGGTCGACGGCTGCAGCGGGTGATATGAACAAGCAAGGCGCTTCGGACCGCATTAGATAGCCACTCTTGTCGAGGGGCACATCGACATCGGGCAGCCTTGTGGGCGGGGCGCCAACACTATTGCTAGAGGCGGCTGGGTCAAAGGGTCCGCCCTGGGCCAGGGCGGGTTCGATCTCAGCCTCGTACTGAGCAGCGCTAAAGCCGGCGCGGTCTTTGTCCTTGCGGCTACGCGAGCGCCACTTGGAGCTGCCACTTCCCTTTTTACGTCGGCCCGACGTGTTGCCTGCGCGCGAAACCACTCGTTTCACAGAGGCCATGAAATGCGAGCTATGCGGTGACGCGCAACAAGGAAGGAATGTGCGCACAGTCATCAGTTGCGTCACCAGCGACATTTGGCGCAAGGGGCACGATCGGCAAGCCGGAGTTGCTACCTTTTCTCTGCCACCTCTGGAATCAAGGCCACTTCTTGCTCATGGCGCGAAATGATAGCGGAGCGAACACCTTCCAAGCGATCAACTTCCAAATTCAAAGTGCCCTGAATGCGATGAGCAAGTGAGTAGGGTTGAGGAGGCGTGGACAAGTGCTTGGTAGGGGGTGGCCATCGCGACGTCTGTGGCTCTAGCCATTTGAAAGCAGGACAGCATCAAGACCAAAAAACGTTCTTACCTCCGACTTGAGCCGAATGTCACGGAGAAGGTTGTACATGTCGGTGAAGCGACGCTCATGTGTGGCGACCGACTTGGAGCTTGCCTCAAAGAGATGGAGCTGAGCCAATGAAAGCTGAAGCACACTTTGCAGGACATCGACCTGACCCAGCGAGTCCGGTTGAGGGGGTGTGGCGCAGAGGCCATTTAAAGAATAGGGTGAGCGGGATTGAGCTGAAGAACGAGGGCGACAGCCGGACCTTGTTGATGGTCAGGACATCGACCAGCATGCCCTCACAGTCGACGGCAGTGAGATGAGCATTTTTGCGCGTGGCGCAGCTTTTGAGACCGCGACGATGGTATTCCTCCGTCTAAGCGCATGGAATGGTGTGAGGTCCATCGGTGGCAGCAAAAATGCCTGCCGTCGAAGGCGACGATAGGGGGCCCACACAGTTGCACGGGTCTTTGAGTCATGCATACCACAAGACCGTCTTCACCACAGCTGGTGGCACAAAACTTGGCCATGGTAGCAGTGTACTTGAGGTGCGACTGAGAGAGTTGCGCCTTGCAGTCAAAGGTGGCACGGAAATGCGCCGCGGCTTCAGCCAGGGTAGCATTGCAAGTCGCCTCTAACTGACCCATGTAGGTCGAGAGGTAGTCATCCATCTGAAATGCGGGGGCAAGCACACGCGAGAATGAGTCAAGCCAAGGCTCTTGGCCGAGATGGACCACCGGGCCAAAGTGCAATGCAAATGCAAATCCGAGACAGAAAACAGCTGCTTGTTGAGCGTTGAATGAACGACCCGCAGCAGGATTAACCTCGGCCATCATGTCAGCCATCATCAGCAGGGGAGTGGCTTGCTTGTTGGTCGCCGTGTTTACGAGGCGGTAATGGGCGGCGCCAGCCCTGAGTGCCTGTGGGGGCCAACATACCAGGCCAGCACAGGGAGCCGGAAGCGGGATCATGTACGAAGGAAGAGGCATTTTCATGAGTGCAAGGCTAAGGTCGGGGCAACCGAATGCAAGATGGGGCAGGCGTCGAGACGTACGCCTGTGAGGGCGCGCAGGCTTGTTCGATAGCGGTCGGTGGCATCAACGACAGAGCTGGAGGCATGCAGGATGCGCTCCAGCGATGAATAAGATAAGTCGGCTGGGAAGCACCGCGGACCACGACCACGAACGCCGAATAGGGAGACACGGGGCCGGGCAAGAGGTGAGGTGACAGGTAGCGGAAAGGTCATGTTGGGATCTGGGGTGGTGTTTGAGTGCAGGATGCGCGAGGGCTGACCTTGCTGCATGGCCTCATCCAGGTCATGGTAGAAGCGCGGGTCATCTTGGAGGATCCCATCCGGTTCCGGAAACGGCGGGATCTGCACGCGTCGCGCGGGGCCCCGGGCGTTGCATGAGCCGTGTGGTTTACAGCGAGATGTCACGCATTCATTCCCATACGTACCTGAAGGTCCTCGGTGCCAGTCACTTCTTCCATGGCGGCACCGATGACGCCGCGGGAGCGGCAGAGATCCTTCCGAAGTCACGCCAAGATGATAAGAGGGGCAGCTTTGGCGTCGCCCAAAGCTGGCGCGAGCAAAGCCCCGCGTTCAGTCCTCCGCTGGGGCGCCGCCAAGCGGGCCGCTTGTCCAGATGGCGGGTAGGTGTGTGTTTACGACACGAGAAGCTGAATTCGCAAGTTGAGGGAGGGTTGAATGGGTTGCAAAAAAGCCTCGGCGTGCCAATTGACTTTTGCTCTCTGGTCGAGCAAGTGAGCCGGCTGACCGATCACCCTTTTTGGAACCGCAAACGACCAAAAGCTTGTAGCGGAGCGGACAGTACCACAAACATGCACGATCGAGCGCCGAGGAACAGACGAGCGAAATCCAAGAGGTCACACACGAACCAGAGGAATAAAGCAGGAAGAGCGGGAGGACAGGAGACATGTCTGTGTACATGTCGAGATAGAAGCAGAAGGGGAGAGGGGCAGGCATACCAGACGTCGAGCGCCATGATTTTTGGTCAGTCCGGCGGGCTGAGAACGTGTCCGCAGACAACATTGTTGTACAACAGGTACTATCAACATGTAAATGGGACATGGTTTCTAAACATATGTTGTAAACAATCAGTTCCAGGTCGAAAAGTGACATTTGTTTAAAAATAGAGCGTGAACTCAGTTTAAAATTAGAAGAGGCCTTATCGACCAAATTTTTTTTTTTGGGCTTTTCATTTCTCCTTTTCAACAGAAACGAAGAGAGAGAGAGAGAGAGAGGAACCGCAGAGATGCAGCTCAGGTGAGTGATGAGTGATGGCGGTGTGAGCGGCAGTGGCAGTGGCAGTGGCAGTGGCAGTGGCAGTGGAGGAGGAGGGAGGGGCAGTGGTAGTGGACTTTTTTTGGGGTGGGGGTGTGGTAGCAGGGGCGGGTATGTGTTTTCTTCAGAGGAGGAGGCAGGCTGCGAAGAATTGTTATTGTTGAGGCGAGGACGGGTTGTTGTGAAGGCGGGGGTGGGCCGGTTTAGCGAGTTGCAAGATCATGCTCGTTCCTGGTGATGGCTGCGCGTGGACCGAGCTTTCAATATGATCCGTATGACTTTCGGGGGTGGTGGCGTTACCCGGGCTCATACGGCTTGGACCTGGGCTTAGGCATCTGAGCACGCTCACAGATGCGGCCGACGGCGCGGCCAAGGTCACCGCGCTGGCATGGAGTCCCAACGGCGTCAAGTTGGCTGCCTGTACAGTCGATCGCGTACGTTCCGAGCCGCTCACAACGACTTGGATGTGCCTTGCTTGCGCGCAAGTCGCTCTTCGCGCCCTTCTCCTTCTCGACATGATGCGGTTCACTTACAGCTTTGTGCTTTGCCCGCCCCCTGCTTGGTATGATGGAAAAACAAACCAACAAACACCAAAACTCCCCAAAAATATGCATTCACTGCTCTGGTGACAGGTGGTCATGCTTTTCGATGAGCATGGCGAGAAGCAAGACAAGTTTGCCACCAAGCCTGCCGAGTCAGGCGTACGTTTGAATCGTCTCCTTTTAGCTTTTGCTACCTGAACTGTGACCTCCGACTTGTTTCCTTCAAAGTCCAGGACCCGGGCTCTTGTATTCCTTTCCATCTTTCCTGCGCTTGCATGTCAGGTGATGACTAGCGTCGGTCACGGCATGTGTCTCATCTTCTGGTGTTTGTGGTCCATAGGGCGCCAAAACGTATCTGGTCACGGGCATGGCTTGGTCTCCCGACTCGAACAAGTACGTCGCATTCTGCGAGCCCTTCCATGCATTGTTTTACCACATTGCATCCGGTTTTGGCCTGTACTCTCCTGTGTTTATGTGATATGCCCGCTCAATTACCTTCAACGGCTCAACAGATTGGCGGTGGCGCAATCAGACAACATCGTCTTTGTCTACAAGCTGGGTCAGGGTGATGCTACCGTGTGGGATAAGAAAAAGTCAATCTGCAACAAGTTCATCCAATCGGTCCGTCAGACGCTTTGGCGCCGCGTGCATCCGCTTTGCCTATCTTGCCGCGCTGCTCTCACCCAATCCTCCTCGTCCTTTCCATGATCGTGACCGCCGCGCATTACCTGTACGGTGCAGTCTCCCGTGACTTGCATTACGTGGCCTCATGCCCACCATCACACCATCGTGCTCGGCACCGTTGAGGGCAAGGTCTGTTGGGTGTGGATTTGGCTTGTTGAGGGGAATTCATGAAGCTGAATCTCTTTTGATCTCACATCTGGAATTGTGATGGAAATCCCCCACTTCCCCTTCCCGCTCGCTGCAGGTGCGAGTGGGCAACTTGCGCACCAACAAGTCACAATCCATCTATCCCACGGGGTCCATGTGCGTGGCCCTGGCCACCAGGTACGCCACATGCCAGTACTTTCAGCTCCTTGCGGCTAGGTCGTTCAGATGCACACCACCATACGTTTGCCTGTTCACACGTGTCGGGCTACCCTTTTTAGTCCCGATGGCGACGGCATTGTTTCAGCCCACATGGATGGCAGCATCTATCGCTATCAGCTCTCCGAGGGCGGTTCGTATCTTGCACTCGCACTGGTCATGTGCGACATTTAACCCCATCCTCACCTCCCAACTTGCGCCGCGGCATCAGGGCGCCATGGCCTGGTAGCAAAGCACAGCTGCCCTGCATATGCCCTCTCTTGGGCCGAAAGTATCTTGGCAGCCGGTGCCGACAAGCGTCTCGTCGTGTACGGCTTGGATGGACGCATCCAGCAGCAATTTGATCACAGCAACGAGCCCGGGGAGCGCGAACCGGCGGTTGCCCTGGCTTCCCCCTCAGGCCAAAGCGTGCTCGTTGGCTCATATAGCCGGTACGCTAGTCATTTGTGGATACCACAACTTATGGCAGTGATCACCTTCATGTGATGCGACTTCACCCTCCTTCAATACCCACTCTGATCATCTGACGTCTTTTTCGGTTGTTGTTTCCTCCTTGGTTTTACTCTGGAAAATTGTTTCATATAGCCTGCGTGTTTACACGTACAACGTTCGTCGCACCACATGGGAAGCTGCCGCGCCCAAGGATGTTCCAAACCTCTACACGGTCACGGCGTTGGCATGGCGACCAGACGGTTCGCGCGTGCACGTGGGCACACTCTGCGGTGCCATCGAGGGTTTTGATTGCGCGTTTCGTCGCACCCGATACAAGGACAAGTTTGAGTTTGTCTACGTCGGCCCGTCTCAGGTCATCGTGACCAAGTTGAGCGACAACATGCGCATCGTCCTCCGATCCCATTACAATTATGAGATTGAAAAGGTGCATGTTCTCGGCGACGACCAGTACATTGTCGGTTACACCTCGGACACGCTCCTTTTGGGTGACCTTGTCTCCTGCCAGCTCTCCGAGGTGGCCTGGCAGCCCACTGGAAGCGAGCGCTTCTACTTTGAGGTCAGTGGCGGCCATGCACTCTGGCCACAACGGCAACGACGTATCGATGCGCTTGCACATGTGCCGATGCTTTGTGCTATGTTGCGCAGCCATGCATGCTACCACGCTTTGCTCATCTCTTCATGGCCCATCTGCCCCATGCAGAATCCGGCCTGTTGCCTCATCTTCAATGCGGGCGAACTCGCCGTTGTTCAGTACGGCGTCAACGAGGTCTGTCTTAACCGTCCCTGTCTTGTTTTCTTTCCTCGCTGCTCCCATCACCACATCAATCTGACAACTCGGTTACCTTGGATGTCACCGGCGACTGTCCTAGGTACTTGGCAGCGTTCGAACAGAGTACATGAGTCCCCATCTCCTCTCTGTCTGCGTTCAGCCACGGTCCAAGCGTCTCGCCGAAGGTATGCTTTGCACCTGGCTGATCACCTGACCACGCGAATGCTCTTTTGCTTCTTCCTCTCGGTCGTGTACACGCGCACCGTGCGAGGGCCTCACCGAGCCGGAAATTTGCTGGTACGCAGACGACACCGTCGAGAACTTGAAGAAGCTGGCGTATCTTGTTGATCTTAAAACCATCAGTGTCATTGCCCTCGGCTCGGGTGTCGAGCTTGTGCACCTCGAGCACGATGCTAAAGTGGATTGGCTTGAGTTGAACGAGAACGGCGGCAAACTGCTTTTCCGGGACAAGCGACGACGCCTCGTGCTGTACGATATTGCCACCGAAAGCAAGACTACCCTGTTGACCTACTGCTCCTATGTGCAGTGGGTTCCCAGCAGTGATGTCATTGTGGCACAGAACCGGTAAGATGCGCCGCCAGCCGCTTGATGTCCGACTTCTTGTTCTATCCACGATGCGGACCATCTTGCTCTTTTCGGCTCACCCTTCGCTTCTCTTTAGCAACAATCTCTGCGTGTGGTATTCAGTGGACCACCTAGATCGTATGACCACCTTTCAAATCAAGGGTGACGTCGAAGACATTGAACGAACCAATGGCGCGACCGAGGTTTTGGTGGATGAAGGCGTCAATATGGTCTGTAGACTGGCGATGGCATTGAGCTTTAAGTTTCACACGCAGTCTCTATCGACCAATGCGCTTGAACTTGCTCATTTCCACGAGCTGCCGCGTTCATCTCAATAGGTCACGTACACGCTGGATGAGAGCTTGATCGAGTTTGGCACGGCTGTGGAAGACGAGGATTATGCGCGAGCCGTCAACTTCCTCGAGGCGCAGATTGATGCACCAGAGACACAGGCCATGTGGAGCACGCTGGCTCAGCTGGCCATGGAGGCCGAGGACTTGCCCGTTGCGGCTCGCTGCTATTCTGCCTTGGGCAACATATCCAAGGCCCGTTACCTGCAGCAGATGATTCGCGACCAAGCCAATGGTGACGAATCGGCACGCGCCAAAATGGCCGCGCTGAACAAACACTTCAAGCTTGCCGAGACCATCTACCTCGAACAAGGCCAGGTTGACGCTGCCATCAATATGTATCAATCTCTTCACAAGGTGAGTCACATTCTCCCTCATTGGCCTTGTCCTTGGGTTCTGGTTGTGGCTCTTGGCATTGAACCGGGTTAGGAGGCGTCGTGGCCCTTTCTCATAGCCTTGCTCTGTTTGCATGGCATTTTAAGTGGGACGAAGCCATTGCCGTGGCGGCAGCGCGCAATCACCCCGAGTTGGACGCTATGCGGTCCAAGTACACTGCTTGGCTTCTCGAATCAGGCCAGGAAGAGAAGGCTGGAGAGCTTCGTGAGCAAGAGGGCGATCTGCAGGGCGCACTCAACTTTTACATGAAGGCCGGATTGCCAGGCCGGGCCGCACATCTGGTCATGGCCCAACCCGACTTGTACGGTCGCACAGATGTGGTTGAGCGCGTAGCCTCAGCTTTGATGCAGGCTTCAATCTACGATCGTGCTGGTGAGTTGCTAGAGCGAGCGCAGATGCCCCAGCGTGCCCTCGAGGCCTACAAAAAAGGCCATGCCTATGCACGGGCCGTCGAGCTGTGTCGCCAGTCGTTTCCAAACGAAGTCATCGTTCTTGAAGAAGCCTGGGGCGATCATCTCGTGCGCCAAAAGCAAATGGATGCTGCCATTCCCCACTTCATCGAGGCTGGGCGCTCCGAAAAGGCCATCGAGGCTGCTATTGCTGCCCGTCAATGGGCCAAGGCTGCTCAAGTATGTCGGCAAATGTGCCTTGATGCCATCGTAACACCTGGTCAATGTGGTACGCATCATTGTCCGTACTTTGCTCACAACCGCCGGGTCCTGCCGCGTTCTACAGGTGGTGGATATGCAGGATGATGCTTTGGCACGGCCGTACTTTATCCAGCTCGCGCGCCACTATGCTTCAGTGCGCGACTTTCGCAATGCCGAGAAGTATGTGATTGTTGGTCGTCTCGGCCCAGTTAGGCTCTGAGTGCCTTGTTGGCCATGTCCTTGCACTCGTTGCCCAACACGCATTTGAGCGGACATCCTTCTCAAACTGGCCTTCTGTCTTTGCTCAGGTACTTCATCAAGGGCCAAGCACCTCGTGGTGCCGTGGACATGTACGTGGCGGCCGGACAGTGGGATAAAGCCCATAAAATCAGTTCGCGCTTCATGTCGCAAGATGAAGTCTCTCAGAGCTATCTCGTCAAGGTATGTTCAACGTGCTCTTCAGGCTCTTGGCGCAGAATTTGAGGGCCCAACGTCTCGTTCATTGGCCGTGTCTGTTTCAGGCGGAAGAACTCGAGACGCAGCACAAATATGCCGAAGCGGAGAAGCTTTATGTGACTGTGAACGAGCCCGATTTGGCCATCAACATGTACAAGAAGATCAAGCAGTACGAGGACATGCTGCGATTGGTGAAGACCTATCATCCCGACTTGATGGAGCAAACCCACATTCATTTGGCACAGGAGCTGGAAGGTATGGCTTGCTCACCCAGCCCCAACCTGCACTATCTTCCCTCCTTTTCGTATGCATATTTGTTTGTTTGTTTGTTTGGCCGAGCAGTTTGGAGCTTTGCTAGCTATTTGTGGTCCCGCTCAGCCCAACCAGCGTGTCTTGCATCGACTGCCGGAGACCGAACCTCATGTTTCCTCTTCCTTTGCGTTTGGTTTCACAGACGAATCATCGCATACTCAAGCCGAGCAGCACTACATTTCCGGGAACGACTGGAAGAGTGCTGTCAACATGTACCGGGCACGCGACATGTGGGAGGACGCGTACCGCGTTGCCAAAACCCACGGTGGCCTGCCCGCCTCGCAGCAGGTAGAAATGCATGCTCTTGCAAGACATCGTGGTTCCCTGGAACCCACCCTCCGCTTTTGGTCCAGCCGAGCCCGCTTTATGTTTCTGTGCCGCGTTTGCGCGTGGCTGGGCTCACTGGAGTGCTTTTGCCCTGCAACGATCCCAGGTCGGCTATCTTTGGGCACGTAGCTTGGGCGGAGACTCGGCCATCAAGTTGCTGCAAAAGCTTGGCATCGTCGACGTGGCCGTGGACTTTGCCTGCGAGCAGAATATGTTTGATTTCGCTTTTGAGATTGCTCGCGCAGCCGCGACGCACCGCACCAAAGACATTCATCTCAAGAAGGCCATGTTTTTGGAAGATGAGGGCCGCAGCAAGGAAGCAGAGGAGCACTTTGTGCTTGCGGACAAGCCCAAGGAAGCCGTGCTGATGTACGTGCACGCCCAGGACTGGGACGCAGCACAGCGCGTGGCCGAAGCCCATGATCCCGAATCAATCAGCGATGTTCTCGTTGGGCAGGCGCGCGTAGCCTTTCAGAATAAAGATTATGCTCGCGCAGAGGCCCTTTTGCTGCGCGCCAACCGCCCCGAGCTGGCCGTGCGCTATTATCGGGAGGCACAAATGTGGGACGACTGCCTTCGCCTCGCGGGCGAGTACCTGCCTCACATGTTGCCAGGCCTTCGTCGTGATTACGAGCTGGCGACCGGCAACAGCGTGCCAGATGGCAAGGGCCCGGCCGGAGCGAGCATGTCGCCCAACGGCAATGAGCCGCCCTCACACGGGGGGCGCGCCACCAGCGAGGCCCTGCTGGTGCAAGCGCGGCAGTACGCTAGTGCTGGGCAACACGGCAAAGCCGTTGAGCTGTACCTGCGCTTGCAACCCGGCGATATGAACGCCGCGCAGCTGCAGGAGGCGTACGAGCAGGCAGCCGAGCTGGCTGCCAAGTTCTTGCCCTCCCAGGCGGCCGAAATCACCACGCAGTTGTGCCAGCGCTTGGTGCAAATGAACCGGCACAGCGTCGCAGCGGATTTTTTCGCAGGGTTGGACATGTTCACGGAGGCTTGCATTGTCTGTGTGCAAGGCCGTGACTTTGAGCAGGCCCAACGCTTCGCTGAGGCTGCGGCTGACCCAGAACTGGTGCAAAAGGTCAAACAGGCCTACGTTGCTCATCTTGAACAGCAAAATGATGGTTCTGGGCTGGCAGGCGTGGACGCGATGGCCGCATTGGATCTCTATGTGCGCAACGAACAATGGCAAGAGTGCATGCGAGAGGCAGCGCAACATGGCGGCCAGGTTCTCAACAAATATGCGGCGCTGTATGCGGCTCGTTTACTGCAACAGGGTGACCCTGTGGCTGCCTTGGGTGTGTTCCGAGAGCATGGTGCGCCTCCCACGCCCGCCAACCATAACATCTATCGCCGCCTGTTACATGACATGCTTGCGGAGCGAGGCCAGGCCCAGGAGTATAAAACTTGGGCAGCCCTGCGCGATGTTCTTGCGTCGGTGCGGTCCGGCGTGGCCGTGCAGCAGCCGCAGAGCGAGCCTGAGTTTGAGCGCATGACCACAATTGCACACTACATGGCGCTTAGCGCAGCCACTCGCGGGATCGAAGATCTCAAAGATCTTCACTCAAAGCTTTGCATTGCATTGCTGCGGTACACCGACATCGTGCCCGTGGACCGCGCATTCTATGAGGCTGGCATCGCCTGCCGCGCCAACGGCGCCGAGAGCATGGCCTTTGTATTTTTGAATCGATACCTCGATTTGAGCGAGGCCATTGACGATGGGAGCCTGGACTCACTGGATAACACAGACTTTTTGAATGCTGGCATTCCTCTCGAGGTCTGTGCTTGCAAAAGCCGTTCCAATTGGGCTGAAAAACTCCTGCTTTGCGTGTCAGCGTTGGACTTTAGGTGAGCTTACGAGGCGTCATGCCTTGCTGGGTGTGTAGGTGCCGCTCCCAGACCGGCAATTTGTGGAAGAAGACGAGCACAAGGAGGCCAAGCAATGGGTCTTGGCCATTTCCATGGACCATGATGTGCGTTATGACTTTTGTTATTGTATGCGTTGAGACGTTTGATGTCCAGGCCGCTGCGATGACCAGAGAGTCAGCTTTCTCTCACGTCTGGAGACTCATTGAGGTGTGATCGTTGGCAGGTTGATCTGCAGTTGGAGACAGACGAGCGGGGCCTCTTCGTCGGCTCGCTGCAAATGCCCAGTGGAGGCCAGGTTTGTCTTCTGGGACCATTTGGGCATCATCGCTCAAGCAAGATGCTTTCTATGACACCGGCTGACACGCGTGTTGCCTGGTTCGAACCCCCTGCTCTTTTTGGTATAGGAGTACCCGGCATGTGTCGCCTGTGGTCTGGCCGTGTTCGAAGAGGCCGTTAACTTTGGGCGAGGAAAAGCGGCGCGCAAGGGCGAGTGGAGTCAGTTCTTGATGGCCATGAAGACCACCAAGTCACCACAGTTGGAGGATGTGATGCGTTTCCTCTCCTCATGGTGCAATGCCTCGGCGTCCATGTCGTACTCTTTCACGTGAGAGCTGACTTGGCGCAAAATCGGTCGGAAGATGTAGACGACTGAGCCTCTAGAAACCGAAGCCCGTTGCATTCATGTGTATTTTTTGACCGGCTCTTCACTGACTGTGACTGTGATGGCGGCTTTTTATATCCGTCGTATGTGGTGGCGTGCTCATCAATGATCAATTAACTTTTTTCTTACTTCAGTTCTTTGAGATGTTGAAACAGCTGTTCGGAATCATACACACACACACACACACACACACACACACACACACACACACACACGGGCAAGTTGGCCAAGAAGATGAAGGCATGGATGAAAGAAAAAAACAAAAAAAAAACAAAAGAAAACAAAAAAATCAAAAAACAAAATCAAAGAGTTCGTGTCCGGGTGTATTTCACAAAGTGGATGGTCTTGAGTGGCTCATGCTTCCTCGTGGGTATCAACAGAGCCCATCAACGACACGCTCGGCGATTTGGCCAGGGCATTGTTGACATTTTCGGCATGTCGAAGACCGCTGGTGTTTGTGGGGGAGGCACCTGCTGAGCTGGTGGTGTTGGCGTTGGAGCTGGAGCTGGGTCGGCGTAGGCGGGTGGAGAGGTTGGCGAGAGGATTAAAGCGGCTAAGACGACGGCTTGGAGAGCTGGCCGTCGCGGCAGCGTCAGCATTCTCCTCTTCCGGCCCTTCAGAAGCATTGCTTTGCATGCGACTGGCACGTGACTGGCGGCGTGGAGAGGCTCGACTTCGTGTGAATAGGCTGAGGCGACGCCCACCTGTGAGGGCGCCAAACCGGGATTTACGGCGAGTGGGGCTAGTAGACGGGTTGATCACGTCAGGACTCGAGGGTCGGCGTGCTGAAGGGGTGTTGGCAGCACGCTGACGAGTTTCGGTTGGGCGACGGTTGGGGGTGGCGAGCGTAAAAATGGCTGGGCGTGCCCCCGTGCCGGCCGGGACTGCTGCTGAGGAAGAGGCAGTGGTGGGTAAGCAGAGGCCGTTGTCCACCGCTCGGGCACGAGATTCTTCGGGGTCAGCTGAAATGTCGGCATCGTCGTGTGTAAAGTGCAGGCGATGATAGACGCTCTGGGTAAAAGGGGTGTTGAGTACGCGGTGCCGCAGAAAAGCCTTGTGTTCTAGTGCGGATAGGCGGGTGTTTAAAAGACGACCCAGTTGTGGTTCGGGGTTGGAAGTGGCGGCATCGGCGGCTGGCAGCGCCGGTGCAGCTGTCGTGTGCTCGGATAAGGCGCCCTTGTCCTGGGAAGCACGAGGGCTGCGGTGAACGGGGTCTGTGGATCGAACGTATTCGCCGTTGATGACCATGCTAGCGTCAGGTCCCTTATTGGGCAGACGGATGATTGGTTGCTGCAAGCTGCGGGGCTGGCGTGTAGTGGCCCGAAGGCGGAGGAGTTCTTCGTGGTCCATTGTTTCGTGACGGCGAAGCTGCTCGAGAGCTCGTGGTGAGAGAACGCTGGACGAACGGCGTCGTTCAAGGGCACCGGCGTGGCCGGGCGCGGTAGTCGTCTGGGCCAAGACGTTGATGAGCGACTGGCTTCGTCGTCGCATGGGAGCCACCGGGTCCGTGGGGCCGACGGTGGTCTGCAGGGCAGCGTCTGGGGCTGTTGGCCCAGCCGCAGGCGGGTCAAGACGAGTCTTGCTTCCAAGGCGGCCGGCCCAGGAAAGGAGGCGTTTAAGGGAGGGAGTCCGCTCGAGGGGTGGGTTGTGGGGTGTGGTGATGGTGGTGCTGCAGGTGCGCTTGAGCTGGAAGCGCTCTTTGCGGGATCCTGGTCGCTTCCTGGGAGCTTGTCCGGGGCTAGTGGAGAGGTTTGAGGGTTGGGGTTCGAGGTCGGGAGCATTGCATGTCAGCGGGTCGAGGACGAGGGGAACATTGCACTTTGACGAGGCATCATGGACACTGGGGCCGGCCTGTTGGGTAGCTGCGCTGTCCGTACTGGAGCGGGGGGTCGAGGCGAGGCTTTGTTGATTCCAAGGGTGATTGGCAAGAGGACCAATGAGCGAAGGTCGCTGGCTTGGGATGGGGCTATCGTGGACATTGAGGTAAACGCCTTCGCTCCAGATGGAGACGTTGCCCAGACTCATTTTGGGTTGGGCGGGGCCCAAGTCAGGTCTACCATCGAGCAGGGTGGGGCGACGGCTCTGCAGATGCTTGGGCTCGAGGTCATCTTCGGAAGGCCTCACGCCAGCAGCTTTCGGCTCATGTTCAGGCGCCTCGCGGTCTGAAACGAGGCCATCGGCAGAGAGAATGGAGTCAGCCATGGAAACGTTGCTGGGTCGGGATGTTTTGTGGCCCAGCTTGGCGGGGGTCCCACCGGCATAGGTGCCCGTGGTAGAGGAGGTGGTGGCCAACATGGCTGTGGGCTAGCAAAATCGAGGGGGGGGGGGGGGGTAGATGCCAACACTACGACGTATAGGTGTTGTTGTTTTGGTTGGCTTGGAGCTCGGTGGGTGAACTGGGCATTCTTTAGCGATCGAGAAACGCTGCTGCTGCTACTTGTTGTTGAAGGTGCAAGGAGGCGCTATTGTGCGTGCAACTTTTCTCTTGGCTGTGCTCACAAATTCGTGCAGCCCTGACCCATCGAGGCACTCGCGCTCAGCCCCGTTGTTGTCAAGAGGGTGATCAGGGGAAGGGACGCAGCTGGGAGAACTGGGCGGAGATAAGTGAGGAGGTGGGTGGACAGTTCCAAAACGGGGCACGCTGGCCAACAGGGCCAAAGCGAGCGACCGACCAAGCGAGCAAGAGAAGGAGAAGGAGAAGGAGAAGAAGAAGAGGAGGAGGAGGAAGGGGACAACGCTGGGCGAGTGTGCGACGGGAAGCAATTACGTGTACCGGGGCAGGAGAGGGACCAACGCCAAAAGGAGCAAGCACCAGGTCGCAGCAGCCGGAGGGACGAGAGGGTCAAGCGCGCGCGCGTGTGTGTGTGTGTGTGTGTGTGTGTGTGTGTGTGTGTGTGTGTGTGTGTGTGTGTGTGTGTCCGCGCGAGCGATTATTGTTCGCCACCCCCTACGTCATTCTGCAGCAACTACTGCTAAAACTGCTGCACAAACCTGATGAGGAAAGACATTATAATACATAGCTTTATGCAAAAAAGCTGCAAAAGACGACGAGAAGCATAGATGCGGACGAGTTTGCTTACCTGCTTGCTTAAAGTAGATGTCAGACATGTCCGCTGACCGCACATTCCGTCATACCAAAGTATAATGTGACATTAATTACATTTCATAGAATTAAAGTGTAAGAATATAACACTTTGAACAGCGCACGAGCGGACACTAAATACGATAAAAGTAAATTACTTGTACACATTCAACAAGTATTATACTTGTTTTAGAGCGCACCCTGTGTTCTTTACAATAGGGGATGTAGTTTACTTTAGAGGATACCGGCGCCATGGGCAAAAATCAGCACTCAAAGGTCGCGACGCGTCAAACGGCAGCGCGCCTCTGGCTCTGCGCTGCCGGAGTGCCTTCTTAGCAGCGCTGTCTTCGTGTGAATGAATGCGTTATTTGTTGTGTTTCTCGGCTCGTTCTCGTCTCCACTTGGGCATTTGGGGGGTGATCATGGTCACGCTCTTTCTCTCTCTCAGCAAACTCTGCCATTCCGTGTCATCGGATGTGCTTGTGTGTCTGTAGGACCGGATGTTCATCACGGCCACGGAGTGGGCCACGCTGTATGGAGGCAAGAAGAAGGAGAGTCAGCTGAGCCGCGAGTTCAAGAACCTGCCTTTTGACTGCTGTGCGCTGACCTTTCAGCCCTTTTCCAACCCCGTCTGCACCAAGAACGGCGTCATCTATGACCTCGTCAACATTGTCCCCTTTATCCGTAAATACGGCATTGATCCTGCCACGGGCGACAAGATCCAGCTCAAGGACCTTATCAAGCTCAATTTTCACAAGTCAGTCTTGCATCGGCCGGAAAATGGCCGAGCCCTCTCCTGTCCCGTCGTTTCCAAAATCAAATGGCCGCAGTGTGCTGCCCATGCCCCGCACTTTTTTTTTTTTTTTTAAAGCGACTCCATTGTACTTACACACCTCTGCAACTCGCTGACCCTGCCAGGAACAAGGATGACAAGTATCACTGTCCTGTGACTTTCAAGGTCTTCAACGAACATACTCGCATCACTGCCGTCAAAACCTCAGGCCACGTTTATGCTTATGAAGCCATTGATCAGTACAACGTCAAGGTGCGAGTCACGCCCTGTTCCCTCGCTCAACCATCATGGGTAGTGCATCACTTGATCCGTCGCATACTCTTTGATTTCGTGACTCAACTTGCATCTCGCATGCTGCGCGTTCAGGCCAAGCACTGGCATGACCTGATGACCGACGAACCCTTCAAGCGCAGCGACCTCATCGACTTGCAGGATCCACAGCACCCCGAGAAAAACAACTTTGCCGCCTTCTACCATGTCAAGAACAAGGGCGTACGTGCTACACCTACCCCTGGCTCATGCAATGACCGTCCACGGGGCCAATCACTTGCATCATGTGCTTGCATACTTCCAACATCAGCAACTCAAGGATGTCTCTCAAGCAGGGGCCTCGCAGCCCACCTCGCAGCTCACTGCTGCCGGCAACAATGCCACCAGTGACGTCATGGTCAGCCTCTCTCTTGGAATAGTCTCTGCCGAGATCCCTCTTTGGTCAAAGTGTGGCGTCATCTCACCCGTGCTTGCTGCTGGCTGCCAATAGAAAGAGCTTGACGCCACCGAGGCCTCGTGGAAAACCGGCCCCGCTATTCATTCAGACACCGACTTTACCAGAGTGCGTTCGCCTTCTTCTAAAGTCCCGCTGACATTTATTATACATATTTCGTGACACCGCTGCTCATCAAGTCGTGTTGTGGTGTCAGGGACTCGAGGATGCACAAGACAATGATCATGCAGCGCATTACTCAACCGGTAGGCATGGGGCACAGCTTGTTGGCCCCGACTTTCCATAATTGCCCACTGACTGCCGGCTACGAAATGACGCAGGTGAAGTATCGGCCAGTTTCACCAGCACACACATGAGTGTTCGAACCCGAAACCGAGCAGCTGCCCTTGAGGACGACGTGGTACGCTACGGTCGTATCAAAGGCAAAGGCTACGTTCGCCTCAAAACCTCCTTTGGTGACATTAACCTCGAGGTGAGCTCCTGCCGTCTCGTGGCCCTCTTAAGCTGGCCGGCATCCATCCCGCAGATTGCCTCTTCGGCTGGGCCCTACGCTGTTGTAGCCAGCGGGTCTGGCCACCCACAGGCCCGCGCAACCATCGCAAGTTTTGACACATAGACCACTACCTGCCTTTATAGCTGTACTGCGAGCAAGTGCCCAAGACATGTGAAAACTTCCTGCTGCTCTGTCGTCGTGGCTACTACAACAACACAATCTTTCATCGGCTCATTCGCAACTTCATGATTCAGGTACGGCGGCGCCCCTGACATGCATGCCCTTTTTCTTTTGCCGTGCGGTCGGCTGTGGGCGCTTGATCACTCGCAATCTTTCTCTCTGCTCCCTGCCTTCCCCGCGCTTTGCCTTCCCATCTCCTATCTTGGGCATGCTCGGAAACAGGGTGGCGACCCGACGGGCACAGGCAAGGGTGGCGAGTCAGCCTTTGCAGACGGCAAGCCCTTCAAGGATGAATTCGTTCATCACCTCTCGCACAAGGGTGCGTATCAACCTGTCGCCTTTTGCACGCCTTGTCGCACCGACAGTCAGCTAGACGGATTGCGACTGTGCAGGTGAGCTCTGCCTCACTCAGGTGTTGCCAACAGGTCGTGGTGTTCTGAGCATGGCCAACGCCGGGCCCAACACGAATCGGTCACAGTTCTTCCTCACCTTCCGCTCCTGCCAACACCTTGATAAGAAACACACCGTCTTTGGCCAAGTCGTGGGTGGCATGGACACCCTCAACGACATGGAACGCGTTCCCACAGACGACTCGGACCACCCACAAGAGGTCTGTCCCATTGTATTTTGATGTTTTGCAGGGTAGATCTCGCTATCCATGTTTATCGTGTCCCTCCTTCACCCTGGTCACATCTTCCAACCCTCCAGGAAATCAAAATTCTCAAGACGGAGATCTTTGAAGATCCATTTGCGGCTGCGGAGGAAGCAGCTGTGAAGGAGCGCGCCGAAGCTGCTGAGAAGAAGAAGGAAATCAAGAAAGCGGCCGACGCAGCTAATGCCGCTCCAAAGGTCAGGCAGTCAAGCTGTCGCTCGTCTGCCCTTGCGCGTCGTCTTTCCTTGTGGAGCCAGCGGCAGATGCAGGCTTAGCCCACGCGTCACAACGCCCCTTCTCACTCACTCGTATCTCCGATGCGTTGGCGTAGAAGCACCATAGCGGCGTGGGACAGTACATATCTCCGGCTCAACTGGCGCAAGGCGGCAAGCGTGCTGGGGGCTCGGCAAGAGATGTACCATCAGGAGATTCGTCGACAGGGGCAAGTGCACCCATGAGTGCCAAGTTTCGCGACCTGGCAGCCAAGCGTGCCAAGCAAGGGGGTGGCTTTGGCAGCTTTGCAGGGTGGTAGAAGGTCGCCCAATTGAATGCTTGAATCAAATGATCGGGTTCACATCTGAGAGTAGGGGACGTCCATCGCACAGGGTTGTAAAGAAATGATTAACAAGAAATTTTGATTGGTTGTTGTGTGTCAAGTTTTTTTGATGTTTTTAAGAAGATGAAATTTCGTCGACCATCGTCATTTTTGACTTGACATGTGAGCGGGCTTCGTCTGGATCAAATACGAGGCGGAGAACGTGCAGCAGCAACAACGGCAGCGGCAACAGATAGAATGGCTTCTCAATCGAATGCTCAGGCGCAGGTGCGTCAAGATGGGATTGTGCCGCTCCTGCTTGTCCTTGAGACATGAACAACCATGAGCGAAACTCACCGACAAGTTTTCAATGTGGGTCGCAGGCGGCTGGTGGCACTGCAACAGTGACGGCAACTGCGGCCGAACGCGGGCAGGGCGAACGGAGTGTCGTTGTTGCATTGCGCCCTGAGGAGCAGCCTCGAACAGCGGTCACTGAAACTGCTCGGGTCCGTTGGGCCGAAGACACAGTCGACAATGAACATCTCAACCGCAAGAGCTCCAAATGTACGTCCGGGCTCGTGTGCTCGTGAATGACGGAAGTGAGGGAGCGAGGGAGAGGTGGGGGAGCAAGTATGCGTAAATGCGCGAAGGAATCCCTTTTCGTTGCAAGGAAGCAGACTGGGTCATAGTAGCACCGGTGCTACTGCCAAACTGCGCGGTGTTCTGACAGCGGTATTTCGCGGGTGCAGGCTGTTGCATCTATCACAAGCCGCACGCGTTTGGTGAGTCCTCGACGGAATCTTCCGAAGATGAGAGCGATGACGAGGCAGCACACCAGCGTCGCTTGCGTCACAAGTATGTACCCCCTGCATGATGTTTTTTTTTTTTTTTTTTTTTTTTTTTTTTTTTTTTTAAAAAAAAAGGCAGGATGCAAGGGCACCTCGTGAGGCATGGCCTTATGGTTTCCTCATGCCTGTGCACCACCTTTGCCAAGGAAAAACTGTCCCACACACGGCCGAGCAGTCAACCCTTACGAACCAAAAAAAGGCCACTAGGGGCAACGCTTATTTGTCTCACGCTTGCTCTACACCACCTTTTGGCCTCGCGCCCAGCCGCACACTGCGTGTGCGCGTCCATTTTCCCACATTCACATCGATTGCAAATCAATCTGTTTCCCATTAGGCCTGCGCCCAAGTATCGTCAGCCGATGAAATCCATTTTCCTCAACAATCATAGACACGATCGATACTCAATGTCAATCAATTGTTTCATGCAGCGCACAAACCAGAGTTCCAAAAACTTAATTCTTTAACATGTGAATGCGCCCCATCGGCCAAAGGCAGGGCGCGCCGGTCGGCATAAACAAAACAGCAAACATTAACCAACACAGAGAGTCACACAGGTTTTGATAATATTTACAATCAGCTTTACTTTGTGTCGCAGAGCAAGGCCACACCACGCATGATCCAGAATGTGGGCGACTTATCCGATGGGGTCTTGAGGTCCACCATTGTCACAAATTCCAGGTCGGTACGGCGTGGCTTACGGTACACGGGGCACTCGTACAGCTTGGGGTTGCGGTCTGAGGTGGAGTTGATGGCGTAAAGGTGCAGCACAGGCAGCTGCGTGTACAGCACCTTCGGCGGGGGATCCTGCAAGCAGCTGTTACGCTTGTCCCAGCCCGCGCCATCCAGGAACAGACCATAGATGTACACACCCTCCTTTGGCGCCTCCTTGATGTCTTCCTTACCAGCCAGCTTGGTGACATCGTTGGCGCACACGACACTGTCCAGGGCCCAGCCCTTGTGAGCGCGCGTAATCTCCTGACGCATGGCTGTGATAAAGCCCTGTGGGTTGAAAAAGCCCGTAAGCCAGTAGCCGTTGGGCCGGCCCTGGAAGCACCAGCTGTAAAACTGCGAGTGACGCTCGAGCAGCTCGGTAAACCAAAAGCCGAGCGTAGCCGAAGTCCAAGAGATGGCTGCCCAGGCCTTGGGCACACGAGCATCGTACATGTTGTCTAGCGCATCGCGCAACGTTTCGCTCATGATGATAGTACCGTCAATGGCCAACAGCAGGTCATTAAGCGTGGTGCGCACCAGCTGAATTACGCGTTGAATGCGATCAATTTCTTGGCGCAAGAAAATGTTCATGGGTGCCGTGGCCCCCATCTTCTTGAGGCGCGCCTTGACCTCGTGGGGCACGAAGCTCGCAGGCAGCTTCTCCAAAAACTCATTGCAAAGGCGCGTCACGACATCCTCACGCGTCTCACCGCCACCGCCACTCGACTCCTTGGGCTGAATGTCCACGATGGTCGACAACACCGTCTGCGCCGTCGTCGTCATGTACGTGATGTCGGCGTTCGAGTGCAGGCCAAAGACCTCGGGGCCGTCAAACGTGCTCATGGCCTCAATGGTCTCAAAGTACTCACCAATCTTCGCATGCACGGGAATGTTGTAGTTGTCGTAGAACTTGAACTCGGGCTTGAACATGCTTTCCTTGAACCACTCGGTGCAGTAAGTGATGAGCAGGCGCTTGTCGCGATCATCGGTCACACGGCCACCGTAGTGGACCTCGGACAGCATGTAACGTACGGTGGGCCAGGCCACACCCTTTTTGGGGTCCATGTCGTCCAAGTGGTTCTGCACAAATTGCACCGATGCCAGCAGATCACCCTGGTTGAACTCGTAGGGAATGTTCCACCCAAGAGGGCCAAACTTACGGCGCTCCTGCACAATGGCGTGCAAGAAGGCCACAGCGTACAACATAGGCTTCCACTGATGCGCGTTGGTAATGTCCAACTGGTCCTGGGAAATATCGGTGTACGTGCGCTTCAGATTGGCCTTGATACCTTGCGGGGGCTCGTTGGTAAACTTGATGGAAGACTGCAGCACGTTGATGGGGAACTTGCGGTGCTCCTCGGTCGTGACCCACAGTCGGAAGTCCTCATGCACGTTCTCAGCCGTCTTCACCGTGTCCAGAACCTCAAGCATAAAGTCCAAGGCCAAGTGGCAGTTCTGCAACAGGGCCCAGCCACCATTCTGCTGGAAGTTGGAGACGAGACGGCGCGCATGCACCTCCTGGCCCTGACCCATGGACACTTCTGAGACCTCAATCTTCTTGCCCTTGGCCAAAGCCTGAATGGCCGCCGTGGGATCCGAGCCCATCGACAAGAGACCAACCAGAGGCGTACGCACATCACTCTCCTTCCACATGAGCTCCATATCGAGTAGCACGGCGTCAGCGTAGCGCTTGCCCAAGGACGCCGCCACGTACTTGCGCGCCTGCGACAAGGTGCGATCGGGGCACCACGAGCGCACGAGCAGGAGGCGGCGGAAGACGTCCAGACTATCTTCGTAGCCATCGGGCAGCGGTGCCTCTTCGGGCTGATCCTCGTCGAACCATGCGCGCCAAGCCTTGTCGTTGCGCGCCACCTGGTTCAGAATATCCTTGAATTGTGGCAATTCACTGAGGTTGACCAGGTTGAGCCAGGTGCTGTCTGAAATCCACGACTTGGGCTTGGGTTGCACGGCATTCAAATCCAAGGCGGCACCGCCCTTGATAAAGCTCATAAACTCGTTATACTTGACGTGACTGCGCTGCAGATCAATCTTGAGGGCCAGCAGGATGGTGAAGAGGAATTTGTCGCGCTCATACAAGCTTCGGCAGGTATACTTGAACACCTCATAGGTCATGTATTCGATGATAATGTTGATACGCTTGGCCGGAACGGGCGACTTTTGCGAATGCGCCAAACTGTAATCGAATAAGCCCAGGAATTGGTCCAGAGAGGTTTGGTACATAACGTTGACAAGGGACATCTCGACAATCAAGAAATACAGAATGGAGCCACGCGTAGCAACGGGGCGGTATTCCTCACGGGCCGTGTTGATCTTGAGCTCGGTATCCGCAGCGACGGCCAGCTTCTCGTTGACTTCTTCGGCCGTCGTCTTGGTCACCCGCAGCACCTCAATGAGACTCTCGTCGTCCACGAGTGAGCCCTGGGTGTTGCTGAGACGGTAAAGCAGATTGTCTTCCAGCTCCTTCATCTTCTTCTTGTTGGCTGTGACCTCGGTGATGAGAGCAACGCGTTCCGTCTCCAGCTCAGCCTTCTCGGTGAGAATGACCTTGGCCAGAAGCTGGTCCTCCAGGCCCTTCATGGTCACCGTGAAATCGATGATGGAGGTGCGCGCAAACACCTCGGGCGTATACGTCGGATTGGCAAGCTTGGTGGTGATGTAGAGCACAAAGCCCTTCATGATGTCCACCTCCTTGTCACCGACCTTGACCTTGAGCGAGGAGCCCGACTTCATGAAATTCTTGTCCAGGATGTTATCCAAGCATGGGTCCAGCTCCTCCAACACGTCCTCAATGAGCAAGGGGCGGCCTTGCGAAAGGGCATCCTCGAGGAAAGTACGGAAATACTTGTTGTCCAGGGTTGTGACGATCATGTTGTTGCTCGCCTCGCGGCTCTTGATCCAAGCCTTGCCCTGACCCTGTGGGTCGATGAGGAGCGGGTAGCGGGTGGCCTTGGTGACGATAATACCGTTTTGCAATGACAGTTCGTCGTTGGGCAGGCCCTGCAGGCCCCACTCGCCAATGGTTGCGTTATCCACCAAATTCTCGATCAAGTTGAGAGTTTTGGTGTACGGGATGTCGCGTTCCTGCATGGCCTTCTTCCAGCTCGAGAGCAACAGAGTGCGGAACTCGGCGTTGAAAGGTCCCGAGTAGGACATAAAGGCGCACATCATGAGAACATCACCCACAAGGCGTTGGATTTGTTCCTCGAATTGGCGCGCTTGCTCGGTCCAGCGGACCTTCTCGCCGCCGAGACCTTCGATGAGGGCCGAAGCAGACGCCATCTTACGACGGCAAGTGTTGGCATCATCCTCCAGCTCCTGCTTCCGCTTCATGACGGCATCGTACTTGGCCTGCACCTTATCAAGCTCGGCCTGCTTGGCGTCCAGCTCAGCTTGAGCTTTAGCTAGAGAGGCCTGTGCCACAGCAAGCTTGGACTCTTGAATCGCCAAGTTGGCCTTGAGGGGCAAAACCTCCTTGTTGATGGAGAAGAACGAAGCCATGGCTTCGGTCCACGAAAGCAAACCGGCCACATTGCCGCACACGCGTTTGGCAGTTTCGAGGTTGTAATCCTCCATGCCCAAGTAGGGCTCCATAAGCTCCACCATCTCGTCATTGATCGTATCCTTGTCAAACTGCACCAAGTCTGAAAGCATGGGACCGTTCATGATCTTGAGGGCTGAAGACCAGGTGGGGGTCGGGCAGGGGCGCTCTGGGTCGGGCACAACCGGGTCCAGGCGTCGCCCAAAGAGAATGATCACGGCATCCATGATGCGCATGATGAGGTGTGGGGGCTTGCCAAGCTTCTTGACCGTGGCAATATCAGCGGGCTTGATGGTCTCCAGTGCGCGTTCGGCTGCAGCCAAGGCGGGCACGGCCTTGGCCAGCTTGTCTTCGGCAATCTTCTTGTCCTTGTCAATGGCATCGACAATCTCCTGAGCGGCATCCTTTTGCTTCTGCACGGCAGCCTTCACCTTTTCAGCCGCAGCCGCAGACTGAGAAACCTCCTTCAGGACCACCTCTGTCTCAGCTTGAGCCACGGCCAGATCCTTCTCCTTGTCCACCAGCTCCACTGAGAGCTGTTTCACCTGCTCGGCCGCTTCAAGCAACTTGTCCAAACCGGTTTGCATACGGTCGCGCAGGTTTTCAAAGTGCTTCTTTTTCTCGTCGTACAATCCACGGTACGAGTTGAGGAAGGAAAGGTACGAAGCGGGCGTCACATAGGTTTGGCGACGGAAGCGCTGGAAGTACTCCTGGCAGGCCATGCCCACGCCATCCTGCACCACACCCATAGTTTCGACCATGGAGGTCTTGACTTCAGGTGAGCACACCACCTTGAAGGAAGAGAGGAAGTGGTCAGCGACGGCAATCAGGGCGTCCTTGGGCCAGGACATGAACCAGTCCATGGTCGTTCCACCAAAGACCGAAGGGAACTTGAGGGCGCGCTCACGGAACTTCTCGCCGACGGGCGAGAAGCAGAGGACAACATGCAGGTTGTTGCGCACCCGGCTGATAAAGTAATCATACAGGTTCTCAACGGTCGGCGGGCGGCGTGGAAACTCCTTCTTCATGATGGGAGTAAGTTCGCCGCAGATCTCATCAATTTCATCGCGAGCAAACAAGCCACCAATCTCGCCCGTTGCCAGCAGGTTGTTGATGGACTCGAGGAACTCTTCTTGCTTGATCTCGTTGTCTGTCATGACAAACGTCAGGCCCTTGCCCTGAACGCCGGCAATGTTGTAGAGAACCTTGATGTCTTCGAGCAAGTTGTTGGTGTTGTAAGAGCGGGACAATTGGATCTGGAAGATCTTGTAACCGGCGATGGCAGTGGCCAGGCGAGTGACGCTCTGCTTGCCCGAACCGCCAACGCCGACCAACATGGCGTTGCCCTGTGGAATACGGATGATGCGGGAAACGCGCACCAGGTGGACGATGCAATCCTTGAAGAACACGAGGTCCATCTTCGCACCGCGCACCGTCTCATTGTACAGGTGCATGTACTCGGCCAACTTCTCCTCCAAAGCACCCAGATCATTCACCATCTCGTAAATCTTCGGCGCTTCAAGGGCTGAATCGTCCTCCTCCTCGCCCGTGGGCTCGGGCGCCTCGCGCATAAAGTCCACGAAGAATGGCTCGGGAGCCAGCTCCTCGGCAAACTGGGCGCCAATCTCTTGCTCCACCAGGGTATCGATGCGCTGGGTAAACCAGGCAACATCGCGCTTCTCGGTGAAGCGGTCAGAAAGCACACGCGTGGCCTCGTGCTTCCACAGGTTGAGGAGAACTCGAGTTGAGTCGCACTCAGTCGGCTGGATACGCAGCATGCCCTCCCAAATGCGACTGACGTCACGCAGGTTGAAAACGTAGTGAAACTTGGCAGGAGTGGGCAGCATCTTGCCCTTGGTGTCCTGCCAAATGCGTCGAGTGAGGTAGACAAGCTTGTCGGCCATATCCGCCACGGCTGGTGTAAACCCACGCTCTGTGCAGAACCAGCCCGTGCCAATTGTACGGAAGATCAGATCGATGGAGACGTTGGCCGGCAGGGTGCAGTTGAAAACGGCAAAGCGGCGCTTGAGGCGCTCAGGGATATCGTTGCGACCACCACCGGGGTGGGGCATGGCCGCCAGGTACTGCATATCGGCCAGATGAATGAAGTCTCCGGGCTTGTCCAGCGAGTAGAAACCGTTCTCTGCCATGACCTGGCGCACAATCTCGTTGGCAATCTGATCTCCCCACTCGTTGATGGTGGGCATGTTGATGTCGTCGATGAAGACGGTGAGGCGCTTGTTGCCAGGAGGCCCGTAGGTGGTACCCATACGCTTGTCGACATACGACTCGATGGTGCGCTGAAAGCCGTTGGGTTGAGTGGTGGAGGAAAAGTTGAGCGACTTCCAAGCGTGTTCCTCAATGTCGTACTTCTTGCAATAGCCCTTGACGATGACCGTCTTGGCGGTACCAGGCTCACCGATCAGCAGCACGGCCTTGCGCTGTTTGGCGATCGTGTCCATCAGGAACTCAGTGCGGACGTTGTCAATGTTAGGGACCAAGATGCTACGGAAGGCCGGGACAGGCTCATCGGGCGTACGGGGATAGTCAAACTTCTCCACGCGATCGGACCAATGCTCCCAGTTGCCGTGGCTATCAACCACGTACTCGAAAATGGTCTCCTCACCCTTGACCGTTGGGAGGGGCAAGTTGGCATCGAGCTTCATGAGGAACTCTTGCAGTTTGGCGCGGTCGTCGAGCTCCAGCACCGCACCCAAGCTCCACATGAGACAGAAAACGTAAAGGCGGGCAAGATGCTCGGCTGACGCCGACCCGGCATCTTCACCCGAGGGAATGAGGCCATCCAAAAGGTCAAGGCATTGCTTGACGTAATTGCACTCCAACAGCTTCATCTTGGCATTCAGGCTTGTCACCACAAACGAGCGCGTGGCATCAAAGGAGGTTGCAAAAAGCTCGCGCAAAACCTCAGTCTCCCCGGGCTTGCGACGCTTGAACCAACCTTCCACGATGGGCTCCCAGTTGAGAACGGAGCTGGACATGAAGACCATGCCGTTACGTGACACCGTGGCTGGGGAGGCATTGTCGATGTTGTGCGGCTCGAACACGAGCTTGGCATCAGGAGACATGGGAATGCGGTCACCGTTGGCCAGCGTCAGCATCTTGTTGTCGTCGAGAACAGAGTTCAGGTTCTCAATCCAGACGGCATCAACAGGACCATCCAGGACAATCCACGTCTTCTCACCCTTCTTGGTGCGGAGGGTACGACGCCAGAGAACGTTGAAGATACCGTCAGTCCAGTCATTGGTGGCGACGTCAAGGCGACCGAACATCTGCGGCGCGGTGATGGCCTTGGGGTTCATACGAAGCTCCTTGTGAGGGGTTCCGGTACGTGTCATGGCCTTCATGAGCGTGTGGATGTTGGTGGTCTTGCCAGCACCACTGGGGCCCAACACCATGAAGCCATGGCGCACGCGCTGCGTTTCAAAAAGCTGCACAAGCTTGAGGTTCCAGGCCGGATGGTTGACAATGGCAGGGGAAGCATCGTCCACGTCATCAACATGATATTGGATGGCCTCCTGCAGTTCCGGATACTCGTTCGTCTCCAGCTCAATGCCGGGGAACAGATCGGAAATGAGTGAAAGGAAGAGCGGTTCATCCTCGTCCACGAGCTTGGACAGGTTCATGTCGCGCAGCACGCGCATGACAATGTACGTCTCTCCGTCATCTGGATTCTTGCGCTTCTCTGGGCCCAGCGTGCGGAGCACGGAGAGGATGTTGCGCAGGCCAAAGTCATAGTGCACCTGCTGCGACAGCTGCTGCTCGCACAGGTAGTAGAGGGTGTAAAACTTTCGCGCCAGCACGACGTTGTTCTGGAAACCACAACTGGCCAGCTTAACGCGAATGATAATTTGGCGATCTGGCTTCATCATGGCAACCGAGCGGAACTGAATCTTGAGGTTCTCCGGCAGCTCTTGGCGGCCGGCGTAGCCTGGGTTCATGGTCAAGAACAGGCCAAACTCGGGGTCAAGGGTGACATCATCGCCATCCATGAAGATGAAGTTGGGACGGCGCTCCTTCTTGGCGCCCAGCACGATGGCAATCTGTTGGGCCGCAACCGAGAGCACAGGCAGTTCAATACGGTTGAATTCATCGAAGCAACCCCAGGCACCCGACTGGGCCAGACCCTTGTAGATGCGGCCCAGACCGCGGAAGTCCATCTGATCGGAGCACTGCAAAGGGAGGCAAGCGATAGAAAGACAAATCGGAAGGGTAAGCATATGGGCATGCAAGATCGTGTGGGCGGGAGGCTGAGGCGACAGAGAGAATAGGCAGCACAGCAGTCAAGAGCATCTTACGTTGAAAACCACGACGAATTTGCCAAGGCAACGACCCATGTCCTTGACCGTTTCAGTCTTGCCCGTTCCGGCGGGCCCAGCAGGGGCACCGCCCATGCTGAGGTTGAGGGCCTGGGCCAGAGTGATGTAGCATCGATCGGTCAAAGGCGTGACGCAAAGGCGATCCACGCAACCGATGAACTCGAGGCAATACTTGAAGATAACATCAGTAATGTGCACTACCAAATGCTTCTCCTCTTCGAGGAAGTAAAAGCGTGCCTGCTTGGTCCACTCAAAGTCCTGAGGACTCTTGATGTGCATCTGTACGAGGTCATGGAAGATGTCGCGTTGATGCACGTGCAGCGTCACCAATGTCTCAAACTTGGTGCGATCCACCTTGGTAAGCTCCTGAAGGGTGGCGTCAATGAGCTGGCTCAAGAGATCGGCAAACTTATCGTCCATCTGGCTCATGATCTTCTTATCGGTGCGCGCGTTGGCCAGAGCAACTTCGGCATCGCGTGTCCACAGCAGCTGCAGACCCAAGATGCCAACCTGAGCCGGGTAGCTATTTTCAAACTCGATGAGCTTGAAGTTGGGGTCGAGCGCCTGCACTGAGGCATCGGCAATGACGGCGTTGAGCGAGTTGCGTTGCTCTGCGAGCAGCGAGCCCAGCCAGAGCTCGACGGGGCCCGAGGCCATGACGGGGTTTTGCATGACGACCGATTCACCCTCACGCGAAGAGTAAGCCAAGATTTGATCGTACGACTTCTCGTTGAAGGTGACCGTCTTGATGTTGTCAAACACGTTGAGCAGATGAGCCTGGATGGTGTGTGAGTCCGAGGCCTGACCGAGAATCTCCAGCAAGACCGTGTCCGAGACGAAGAAGAAGCGCGGGAAAAGAAGACGCTTCTTCTCGAGGTAGCCCACAAGGGACTTTTGGCAGAGCTCGAGCTGCTCAAGCATGTGCTGCAGCATCGTGCTCATCGTTTCGTCGCTGGTGCAGCATTGCACGAGGTTGGGGTTCTCATGCGCACGCTGCATGATCTTTTGCCACGACTTGTCGATGTTGCTGAAGCGCTTGGCTTCCTTGGGAAGCTGCTTGGCAATATCACCGCCCACAAAGACTGCTTCGAGGTACACCCACAGGTTCTGAACAATAAGCCACTTCTCCACGATATCCGTGGTCTCCGACAGGTTGGACACCCACTTTTGGATATCGGTTTTGAAAGGCGCATTGTAGCGGTTGGAGTTGAGCGAAGTGAGAATCATGAGCGAATCTTCCATGAGCGTGTTCAGCTCGCTAATGTCCGCCGCGTTGATGAGAAGCTCGCCGCGCGCCTTAAAGGTGTTGAAGGTGACCTCGCGCGAGGACCACTCGTTGATGACCTGCTTCAGTTTGGCCTCAATGTCCTGCTCCTTGATGGCGGCGATACAGATATCCTCAATATCCTCCTTGGTCTTCAAGAGATCAGCCTCCATGATGTTGCGCAGCAAAAAGTTTTCGTTATCCACGTCAAACTCCACGCCCGTGAGGTCCGTGATGCGGGCCCAGTGACGCGGCAACATGGCCGGGTTACTCATGCTCTCGAGCAGCGGGCAAGACTCGGCAAAGTCATCAATGGTCTTGCGCAGATCCTCAAACGCCTGCCACTCCTTGAGAGCCTTGGGCAACTTGCGGCAGCGGTTGCCAAAGTCCAAGAGCTCGGCGTTGATCTTGTCCACGTCAACGTCCCGCCACAGGATGTCATAATAGCCATTGACCGTCTTGATGACGTCGTTGTAGAGGGAATAGAGCTTGCTGAGCAGACCAAGCTCCTTCTTGATACGCTGCAACTCGGGGTAGTCGGTTTGCTGCAGGCCAAAGAGTTCCTCGCCTCCTGAGTAAGTGACAAAGCGTCGCCACAACTCGTCAAAGCGCATCTGGAAGATGGCCAGACGATCGCTGGCCTCCTCAGGAGTGATGCCCTCAACGCCGGGGCCAGCCACGTTGTACTCTTCCACAAAAGTGCTTTGATCCACCTGGAACTTTTGCACGGCACCAATGAGGTCATCCTTGAACTGGGGCTGGATAGTGATGAGGTGGTCTTGAATTTGCTTGGAAAGACCCAACACCTTTTGCCACTCGAAATTGAGCGTGTCCAGGCGTTCAGTCTCTGCCCGGGGAACAACCACCTCGTACTTGTTGAGAATACCATAAGACTGCTCAATGGGGGCCAGCATGTTGTCGATACGAATTTGATGCTCGCGAAGGTCCTTGAGACCGTTCATGGCGACCCGCACGTCCTCGAGATCCTTGATGGGGCGGGACAGCTGCTTTTGCAGCTCGTCGCAGAAGGCAAAGACCTCGTTCATGTCGTCAAGGGCCTTGCTGTTGAGACCCTTGCCAAAAGCCTGCTTCCAGGCCTTGGTCTCGGCCACGAGGCTGTGCTGAAAGCTGTCACTCCTGAGCTGCAGTGCCCCGGCGGCAAAGACGCCAGGGAGACCGAGAACATCGCGTTCAATGTCCTCGTAACGCCGAACCTCCTGCTCAAAGGCATACAGATCTGGCTTGGTTTCCAAGAAAGCAGCCGTCTTCTCGGCCTTGTCCTCGGTCCAGAGCGCACTAAAGCGGTGCAGCGGCTCGAGGCAACCATCAACCTCCGACTTGGTGCTGCTGACAATGGTTGAGAGCGACTGGACGTGCTTGATCACCTCCTTGTGCTCCGCCACCTGGGCGTAGATTGACTCCAGTCCCTCCTGGTCACGCTCCTGGCCCCAGGCTGCCACCTTCTTGCCGACGTTGACCATGAGGTCCGCAGCCTCCTTCACAGCCTCCTGAACGGCGGGAAGTTCGGGCCGAATCACAATCTTAGGAATGTCCAGCTCAATGTGGACGTAAAAGCAAGCGGGCTTGTCACGATCAGCAGAGCGGTTGCTCAGCTTGCGACGCAGCTGATCCAGGTTGTAGCGCACACAGCGGACGACAGAGTCGACGCACGATTGCATAAAGCCCTCGTAGAGTTCTTGCAGAGCAATCTTCATGTGATCGCCATCGCGAATGGCCGCCGGGATGTGCTTGTTGAGCAGATCCAAGAGTTCCCGAACAGCGAGCTCAACCAGAGAGCTTTGCAGCTCGAGGTGCTCCGCACCAGCCTGGCAAAGACGGTGAGTCTTGTGGACAAGCTCCTCCGGCAGCCAGGGCTCATCGCTGGGCAGGGCAGCCAAGGAGGTGTTGCGCATATCCTTAAGAACAGCATTGATGCGGACCTGTACCAGGTCCTGAATGGCCTTGAGCGTCTTCTCAAACTCGCCCATGGCTGTATAGCAGGCCTGCAAATAGGTCTCCAGGTTGGGTGACATCCAGCTCAGCTTGGTAAGGCCTGGTTCGATAACCGCATCGACCAGAGCGCGAATGGGCTGAATGATGACGACCAGCTTGTCAGGAATCTGCGCCATCACGTCCGTGTATTCACGGACGAGCTGCTGCAGCTCAACTTCGTGCTTGCGCAAGCGGTCCTCCTGCAGGCAAAGGAGCTTGGCACTCTCCGGAATCTCGAGCTTGAGCTTTTGCATGATTTTCGTTTCGCGAATCAGCTGCATGATCTGGGGGTCAATGTTGACGACAAGATCTCCCGTCTCGCGCAGGCTGAATGCCACCTCATCCTGGTTGCTGAGGGGGCGGCGCACCAAGAGAGAGGCGTTGAGGCCTGACTGGCAGGCGTCAACGGCACGCCACCACCCACGATGGTAGAGCATCTCAAATTCCATGAGAACGTGACCCAACTTGTTGTAGGTCTTAATGATCTTCTTGGCCTCAGCGGACTTTAGCACGTCGGGGCAAGCCTCCTGAAAGGCGGTCATGGGCCCTTCAATACGGCCAAAGAGTTGACGAGCCCAGACGATGCGGCCACCCAGCGGCGGGAGGTTGCGACCAATGGCAGGCTCTTCCTTCTCAGCCTGGTAAATCTTCCGCACCTCTTCAAGCTCGCGGCCAAACTGGCGCAGGACCACCTCGTACTTATCCGTGAGGACAAGGCCCACACCCTTAATGAGGTCAAATTGAGCCAAGAGATCGAGGGCACGCATGACGCTGGGAATGGTCAGGAACTTGTCGTCCAAAAAGTCCTGCAGACGGGCCAAGAGGTCGGCCAGATCGTTTTTGAGCTGCTCGTGATCCGTGTCAAAGTCACGCTTGCGCGTGTTGAGGGGATCATAGGGCTTGCTCTCAAAGTTCTTGAACAGCGCGCGAGCAGAGACGGCCAGCGTGTCAATGCCGTCAATTCTGCTTGCGTCGAGGACGGACCATGTCTGCTTGAGCCTCAAGACCTCTTCAATCTTCTCCGTGCGCTTGGAGAAGGTGTCAAACTTGCCAAAGACACTCATTTCGGAAAACTCAAACTGTCGTCGATCGGGGTTGGCAGCAAGCTTTTGCTTCTCCTTGGCAAAGCACGTCTGATAATGGGCGTTGAGAGCCCGACAATCGGCAAGGCGCGCGCACAAGGCCTTGGGGTCCTGTTTCCAGAGACGCGACTCGTGCTCATAGACGTACTCCTTGCAAGCGGTAATCATCTGGTTGGTGATTTTGACGCAAAGAGCGGTCACGCGCTCGGAGGTGTTGTAGTACGTGGAGACGGACTGGATCATGCCGATGACGCCCATCAAATTGGGCACCGACTCAAGCATGGTGACGGGATTGCTTTTGTACAAAGCGCCGCAGGTACGATCCAGCGCATAGAGGTACTTGACGTTGTCTTTGGCCTCGTTGGCGGACTCGGTAATGCGGGCGTCCAGACGCCGCCACTCGGGAATCACGCGGGACTTGGCCTGCACCAGGATGGCAATAACCTTTTGGCAGCTGGGTGCCTTGATTTGGTCCAGAATGCCGTTGAACTTGGCCATTTGAGACTTCCAGTGCTCAAGCTCGGCACGCGGGCCAACGTCATCGGCCTCGCGGCGCATTTGCTCGCTTTCGGCAATGGCATGGGCGAGCTGGGTGCACCACTTTTGAAGGAGATCCTCGAGTTGCTCCACGGCCTTTTGGTCCTCTGAAAGGGCCGTCATTTGCGCGGGCGTCTTGACTGATTCGAGGTGTAGGGGGGTGGCGCCTTCAGGGGCTTGGTATGGGGCGAGGTGCACTTGATGGCGCACGGCGGTGTCCGCCTCGCTGAGGGAGGCAGTGAAGCGCTGCAGGGCGTCAAAGAACTCGTCGCGCTGTGAATCATCCTCGTGGAGTTTGCCCCAATTCTCGTTGTGGTGGATGTAGGGCTCAAGGACATCGGCTACCACGGCGCGAAGGCCGGACAGGAGGGAGCCATCGTTGGCAGCGGCGCTGAAGCTACCAAAGTTGATCTCATTGGCCATGTTGGAGGTGGTGATGGCACGCGGGGTCGTACGCACGGCATACACGCACATGTTTGTCAGCTTGGTGGTGTGAGGGTCGACGAGCGCCAGGCGCTTGCTGGACTCGCCCTTGGAGCGGCTCTCAATGTCTTGATAATAGAAAACAAGCTGCTTGCTGCCGTCAGCCTCGAAAAAGGCGTCAAAGCTGTTCAGGGCTGAGACGCCGCCCTCCAGCAAATGCTCCTCTGCTTCTTGGGCAGACAAGCCAACCAGGTCCGCAACACGGCCGAGGACAAACTTGTGACGGTTGTCAAGACGAGCGAGGGCATTGGCGCGCGCCTCCTTCGCAGCCTTGAAGGACTCGGCGGCCGTCTCCTTCTTGGTCGTGGTGCGCTGCACCCGTTCCTGTATGCCAAGCAAGTGGAGGATGGAAGAGTGTGGCCAAAGCGTCGTTGTAAGCGGCAAGTTTAAAAGCTGAAGTGATGCAGTATCAACAAAGTGGGTGCAGAAACAGATGATAGCTTACGGTGGTGACGGCTTTATTTGGGCGGCGGGTAAACTTTTGCACCTGCACGCCTTGACGACGACCGCGGACCTTTGGAAGGGACGCAGGGGGCTGCGGCAGGGTACGGCCCTCGGCGTCGGCCTCGGTGTCGACATCAGTGGCGGTTTGCTCTTCAGTTGAAGCAGCGTGTGTGGCTTCTTCTGCCTCAGCTGGAAAAAATGGGGAGCAAGCGTAGGTGAGAGCAGAGAGCTATGCAGGGGCATGGCGCATGTCTGCCACTCGTGCCTTGCAGCTCGAACATGAAATGTCTCACAAGCACAAGTATCTCACCGGCCATGGAAGCATCAACGTTGACGTATCCGCCATCAACCGTTGGGCTATCTGGTTCAGCTGCCACTTCAACATATTCGCCATCGGCGGGCACATCGCCCGCTACCTCAACATACTCATCTGAGGCTGGGGTGGCCATAATGGCGGTGGTGGAGGAGGTGGTGTTCCACTAATTATCAAAAATAAAAGCAATAGGTGACTCCCAACTCTGAAGAAGAAAAAAATCACAAGGGATCTGAATGAACGGCGGTGAGTGACTGCCGCAATCGTGTCTCAGGAAAGATCAACAATGGAGAAGGCAACGCACCAGTTCTGGGAGAGCAAAAGCACCCAGAATATGCGTGCGAGAGAGCAAAAGAAAACAGTGCGCGGCACTTGTTTCTCTTGACCTCAGGTCGAGCGCGGATTCGGTAGTCAAGCTCCTCGATGGGAGCTAGCAGCCCCGGTGAAAGAGGGGGGCGGGGGGGGGCGGCCGCTCACGCGCGCGCAAAAGCTGGCGCGCGAAAGAAACGGAAAGAACAGATGTGGAGCAAGCTGCGACCACAGTCAAAAGTCAAAAATAAATGTGAGTTGGATCAAGCCTTGACACTGGCCAGGAGGTTGGGAAGGGGTTCAGATTCATACCCGACGCGAGGAAAAAGGAGAAATCCTCGAAAAAAAAAGTGAAAAAAGCCAGTTGCTACGGTCCACGGCGTTGCGCGTTGTCGTCAAGGATTTCCAATTTGTGTATAGCTCTGAGAGCAATTTATCAGATTAAATTCATTGTGAAATATATTCGGTCATTGGCGCCCCAACCAATTCCTCTGTCTGCATCTGTGGTTTGAAAAAGTTGAAAAAGTTAAGTCTTTTTTTTTTGCTCACATGTCAATGGCGGCTGAATTAGGGCTTGGCCCTGTTTCTCTGGAGGCACCGATGGAATACCACCGGCTTCCGCCAAAACGAATCTCACAATAACGAAAGCACATTGAGCTATCAAGGTTAAGGCGCCCAAGAAAACAACACCAAAATCCCTCCTCATCTTGTTGAACATGCTTTGACAGCTGGGAGGGAGGGGAGCAACACTGTGGGGAGCGACAGTCGGCTAAACACGGCCAAAAGAGCAGAGGCAATTGCCCAAGCATAGCGCCAATTATTTGCTGGTGTCCTTCTTGTCATCCTTCTTTTCCTCTCCGTTGCCTCCGCTAGCTGATTGCAGACTGCGTAGCGCCTCTTGAATAGCGGGGTCGTTGATGTCGACACCCGGGAGGCCACTCACCAGATTGGCATAAAACTCTGGATCTTGCGCCACCTGGCACAGTTGACAAGATAGCAGAGCAAAATAAATGTAAGAATTGAAGTCAAGGAAGAAACAGCATTGGTCGCCGGCAAGGCCAGCTCTGACACGGCACGGCATGGTATGGGCAAGGTTTTGCGCAAACCGACCTGGGCTTGATCAGCAGGCGTGGCCGCACTCTCTTCCGTAGCTGGTGCCGCAGGCTCACCACCAGCATCAGCCGAGGAATCCATGGCTGCTGGTGCCGATTCAGCTAAACCAGGGGCCACACCAAGTTTTATAAACCAGATCCAGAATGAGAACCAGAGGTGAAAGGGGGAAAAAAAAAGGTGGGGCGCGGAAGAACCAATTTGAAAAGCATCTTTGCTTAAAAACGAGAGGCTCAATATTGTTTGCGTTGGTTCCGCTTGGAATGTACCACAGAACAAAACAAAAGAGGAAAAAAAGAAAAAAGGAAAAAGAAAAAAAAAAAAAAAAAGCAGTCAGGGTAGCCTTACCAGGCATGGACATGCGGAGCGCATACTCCAACTGCTCTTCCTCTGTCATACTGGCAAAGTCCGGTTCAGCTGGAGGTGCAGCTGCCGGCTGCAAGATAAGGGAGGGGCCACAGATGGGCAAGGCAGGGTTCATGAGCACGGCAACACGGACAGGTTCAGTCCCATGCACCCAGCACCACACTCGCACACACGAGCTCAAACATAGGCGCGCAGCCTCGTATGTGCAGCCTCGTATGTGCAGCAGCCTCTGCAATGTCGCCTCACCTGTGACGATGATGTGCCGGATTGATCTTGCATGGACATGGCCAAAGCTGCGGCCAGCTCTGGATCATCTTCCATACCCGCTATCAAAGGTCGATCGCACGGGTGAGGACCAACGTTGTCCCAACGGGCTTGAAAGGCAGGTGATGAGGGTGGCAAGTTCGGATGTGCATACCAGGTGCTTGCGAAGAGGAGACAGCGGACGGTGCCGCAGGGGTGGGCGCATCAGCACCAGTATCCATCGCTTGGTCCTCACTGCCGGGCTGCTGTTGCTGCTGTTGCTGACGCTGACGCTCCTCCTCCAGCGAGATGCGGAGGGCCTGCCACCACCGCCACGACGACAAGGTAGCACAGCTGAGTGAGTCCACCAAAAACTGTCTCAATCAGGCGCAGCAGAAGGCCAGTAAGGCAATTCGCCATGGGCGGGGCGCACCATGGCAAGTTCTGGATCAGCCGAAGGATCAATGCCGCCGTACTCGGCAAAGTCGTTGCCGCCCCCACCGATACCAGCCCCAGCCCCACTACCACCAATGATGGCGCTCGAAGCCAACGAATCAGAGAGGTTGCCAGCACCCGCAGGCACAACTAGCAAGTGACTCGAGTCTTCCTTGTTAACTGCATCGATAAACGCCTCGAGCTTCTTTGTGTTGGCATCCTGTGCGCGTGCGTTTGAACATTGCAGTGGCCGTGTGGTGAGCATAGCCAACAAAGGAAAAGCCGAGAGAATGCACCAAAAGTGGAAGCACCAAGGTGAACCTACCTCTTCGCCAAAGCTGACGACATCAATGCTGATGTTGCTCTTTTTCAGTTTCTTGCCCAGCTTAATCATCTGTGTCAGATTCGAAAAGTATTTTGTCAGCGCAACCGTTGGTCAAAAGCGATGAGACGCGTTGAGATGTAAAAGACTAGTGAACAAACCTGTGCCTCATCGGCATCAATGGGACTGCCAATGAAAACGACGATTCGCTGTCGGTGCTGCTTGGCCTGGCGATGCTTCAACACCAGCTACAAGTTACACCACGGTAAAATGTCCGGATCGGATACAAAACAGAGGAGAGAGAGAGAGAGAGAGAGAGAGAGGAGCAAGGAGGCAGAGTCAGGTAGAAGCGGGGATGATGACGGTGATGAGCATGCCAGCATGTCGTGAGCAGAGCGGAAAGGTGCAGGTGGTTAGCCTAAACCAGTCTCTTTCTGACTGGGTCTGTGCCACGTCACACGAAAAGAAAAAAAAAACCAACCTGGGCAACTTGGACCGCGCTCATAAAGTCAATCTGTCCCTTGGGCTGGACGTTGTGAGCTGCTGCTAGCAGTGGGCCCTGATCCGAGGCCAGCGTCACCAACACACGGCGCCTAGAATCGGGAAACGCAAAGTTGAGGTGACCACATAAAAAATAAAAAAATAAAAATCACAAATGAGCAAAAAAAAAAAAAAAAAAAGAGCAAAAGGAAAAATTAACAGCCATCACCAAAGGCCACGTCAACATAATGAGGCTTCAGTCATGTGCACCAGAAGCCAAGAGCCAGTGATAACCGTGTGGGTGGCGACAAGTGTGGCGAAAGCTAACGACAGGGTCGCAGGTGCCCCGCACCCATTGGCGGCTGGAGGCCAACGAGGCGGGACGTACTGTGCCATGGTCATCAGGCCGACTGAGTTTTCCGGGTGTTCGCGGATTTTGCTACCACAGAGCATGTTGCAGGCATCCTTCTGGGCAGCCAAGCGGGTGGGCGAGAAGTCACCATTGCGCATATACTCGCTGTCATCCAGACTGCAGGTCGGGGGTCAAGCGCACAGGACGGGGGAGCGGTCAGCGTCAGCCAGTGGCGCAAGGGTGCATCATGAAGTGTTCAAACTCGAGCATGCGCTCTCTCGCTCCGCTCGTACCAGACGATGGTGGCTTCCGGCATGACGGCTGTTGTTCAAGAATGCTTTCGTCTTGCACGAGGGGCGAGAAGAAAAGTCTTGGTGAGTGAGCAGGAAGGTCTCTGCCGTTTCCCAAAACACCACGACACACTGAACACAAATGCAAGCGGGAAGAAAGACAAGAGAGATGAAGAGCTACCAAATGACAACAACAAAAGTGGTATACGAACACAGTGATCATAACTTCCAATTTTGGTCATGTGTGACAAAAGTCACAGTTCTTCCCCTTTCCTTTTTGCACAATTCCACCCCTTCCTCCTCGAGCTCGAATCTCCTCACATCAGCGGTAGCGGTAGCGGCAGCGGCGGCGGCGTTAGTGTGTGGTGGGGGTTTGGAATTTTCTGCTCAAAGGCCATTGAGATTGCCATTGGGTTGCCATTGGGTTGTCACTGATTTGAGGCGGTAGATGCCCAGGTGAGTTGAGCATGCACATTGTGTGGCACGATCGCCGCCATACCCCACCTGAGCTGGCTCGCCAGCCGCGCGCTTGTTGGCTCACTCACGGCCGGGCGGTCCCGCAGGTTCATGGCGGACCGTATGGAACGGCAAAGACAACATGGAGGAAGACCTGGACTTCCTCAACTACCCTCCCCCGGCACCGCCAACTGACGATGAGGGGGAAGCTTTGCAAGCGCCGAGGAAAAATTCAGGCCCCGATGAGGACACTGATGCCATTCTGGAGAACATCATCTTGCCACCCCCCATCCTTCCCGTTCACCATGGGAGTTCTGATCCGCAGCCATTGCCAAATGGTAGCTCAGAGCTGTCAACGCCACCTGCACGCTCACCACGGCCTTTGCAGGAGGACGTTCGATCCTCTCGTGGGTCCGCACTTCCGCCCCCAAGCTTGGCTGGCTCGTCCCCTTTACAACACAGTCCAGCGCCCTCGCGTCCTTCACGAAGCTCGCCCTTGCTGCGCGGACAACGGATCGCTGTGGGACCCCTACCAGACAGCGTGTCCTCCTTGAGCGTACCCCGCGACCTGGCAGGACTCTCTCAGCCCACCAGCCCCACCAGTCCTTCAGTCCGCTCCCTACAAGGCATCGCTCTCCCGGACAGTGTGCCGGCTCAAGAGCTGGCCAACTTGTACAATGAGCTCATGGCCAAAGCTGAACAGCTTGAGCAACTCTTCCGTCAGCCCCCACCCGACTACCGAGCCACCTCGCTCATGCAAGTGTCTCACTCCTACGAAGATGAAGAGGAGGTTGATGACACCACATCTACGCTCAATGCCACGGCCGAAAGCCCCACACCCTTGGCCACCACAGCGAGCAGATCGCAGTCCAACAAGCCCTCGGGCTCCCAGCGCCCTGATCCCACGACCCCAGGCAGTGTGCGCCCTCGCGCCTCCGTTCATTGGAGCGAAGATGTGCTCGACAACGAGAGCCCGGTTCACAATGCCTCAACCAACCGTACAGCTGCCCACGCCGGCTTGGGCACTCCGCTATCCCCTCTTCAGGATCCCCCTTCGGTGCATATCAGTGATAGTCCTCCCAGTAAGCAGGATTCAACGGGCCGTGCCCACCGTGAAGATAGTTTGGGTTCACTTGACAACGATTCGGTCATCATCCGTGATGATGAACCCACCTGGACCAACATCGACTTCTCCTCGACCAGCAGCAGCCCAGCGGCCGCAAAAAAGTTTCAGGTATTATAATCTCTGCTGACCACACCTCAACTTTCACTCTCAGCTTCCCAGCCCCGAAGCACCTTGCCAGGCTCTGGGGGTCGACTCCTCGCTTCAGTTGGTCTGGCGTGCTTACAAGCTGTACCATTTGTCTGGCAGAAACCATACATTGTGCCCTTCGAGGAGCTGCATTTGGGGCAGGTCATCGGCTCCGGGGGCTTTAGTACCGTCTCCAAGGGTTTGTGGCGAGGCAACATCGTCGCCATCAAGCAACTCACCTGTGGTGAACGCACCTTTGAGCGGGTTTGTCGACGCCGCTTGGCGAGAATGATGAGACGGGCTCTTGCGGCGGCGTGTCAAAGTGGTTCATCGTGGTCTCTGGCTACATCCGTGCTCATTTTCAATTGCTTTCGGTTCTGTGCAGATGGAGGAGTCACTCACGCAGGAAGCGGATCTCCTCAACACCTTGCGCCATCGCAACATCATTGAATTCAAAGGCAGGTTTTTTCCTTTTCTTTTTCGTTTTCTTCGAGCGCCCTTTGCCTCGCCCTCCTTGCAAGCGCAGACCTTTGTTTGTTTTTCTTACGCGCTTGTGTCTTTCACCTTTTGCATCACGCCCCATCGACCCTTGCCCCCCGCCCCTTCTCTCTCTCCATGGCGTCGCGATGACTTCCGCTTGTGGTGCGGCTATCACAGTGGCCTGTGTCTCCCCACCTCACTTCTGCATCGTCTTGGAGTTTGCCGCCAAGGGTCCACTCAACAAGCACATCCATCGCACTCTGGAACCCAGTCGAGTGGTGGATTGGTCTCGTCAGATTGCCAATGGCATGCACTACCTTCACGACGATGCGCCGGTCACGGTGATCCACCGTGACCTCAAACCTTCCAATGTTCTGGTGACAGATCAGTTTGTTCTCAAAATTACAGATTTTGGGTGCGTGTGCATTTGCCTGAGACGCCAGCGAGGGGACTGCAAAAGGGCATATTGACCATGAGCCCTGGGGCGTGCTCCTCACCATGACTCACCCCTGCCGTGCCTTGGCCCCTGCGACACCGCGTCCTTGTCAAAAATAGCTTGGCTAAGCTACATACCCACACCACTCGCATGTCTGCGGGTGGTACCTACAGCTATATGGCCCCAGAAAGCATACGCTCTTCCGTCTTTTCCAAGGGTTCGGACGGTAAGATGCGGAGAGATGTTTTGTTCATATGTGTATGATTGTCGTCTCTTTTTGCGATTTTCGACATGCCTGCTTTGTGGGTGTGTTGTTTGTTGGTCGGAATCGGGCGTACAGGGAGGTCAACAGCGCTCTCCTCTCACGGGACCACTTGAATTGTGCTCTGCAGTGTGGGCCTATGGTGTTTTGGTCTGGTCCATGATCACGGCACAGATGCCCTATGAAGGGGTGGAGGCCATGGCCGTGGCCTATGGCGTGGCGACCAACAACCTGACCTTGCCCGTTCCCTCCGACTGCCCGGCTCCGTTTGACCGGCTTTTGCAAACTTGCTGGCACCGCGACACTCGGCGTCGACCTTCATTCCAGCAAATCATCCAGGCACTTGACCACCGCTCCTCTGGCACGTGATTATGCCAGACGATTGGGTGCCTGCCTCTCGCTTTTTTCTGTTGATCAGCGTGCTTCTAACAAGCCTCTGCTTGGCATGGCACCTCCAGGCGTGTTTAGTAACGTGCCTCGAGCATCGTTTCGCTTGATGCAATCCAAGTGGACCCTGCAGATTCAGAAAATGAGTGAGCAGCTCAAGGCTCAGCAAGCTGACTTGCTAGGTCGAGAAGAGGAGCTGGCTCGCCTCGCCGAGGTGCAGGCGCAGAAGGAGGCCGAGCTGCTGGCACGCGAGGCTCGCCTGCTTCAACGCGAGCTCGAGCTCAAGGATCGAGAAGTCAAGGATAACCTTGATGCCAGCCCGTCTCTCACAGATCGCCGTTATTCAGATCCCAGCAAGAAACCGCGCGGCTTCAAGCAGGTACCATGCTGTGATAGATTGCTCTATGGTTGACCCATTAGTGACAAACTTTGCCGCCCCCTCACCGTGCTTTTTTTTTTTTCTCCCCCTCTTCGTCTTGCACAGCGCTTTTTTAAACGCAAACCGTCGTTGGGCTCAATGGTGAGTCCGCCGACAAACTTCAAGCATATTTCCCACGTTGGCAGTGCTGACCTTCCGGTAAGGCGAAACGTTGCTCCGCAGCTGATAAGTTGTACTCTGCTACCTCCTGGAGTACCGCAGTTGCCTCCAAGCTCACCTGCTCGGCCCCTGCCCTGCAAACCAGCGTTTGTCAGCGGAGCAAGTTGTGAGCAGCCTCAACCCGCGATTGGAAGACAGCCCCAAGAACAAAAATGGGAAGGGCAGTGGCACCAGCGATGAACCACTACATGTACCCTCGCTTGTGGCCAACTTGCCGGATGGCCTAACCACGCCCATCGAGGCGGAGGGACAATCACCCACGAGTACCAAGCCGGGTCGCAGGGGCCTGCGCAAAGCCATTCTAGGCCGCCGAGGACACACACGTAGCCGGTCCGATGCGACGGCTGAGATTCGCATGGCCATGCTGGCCGAGGCCACCGAAGTTGAGATGAATTGCCCGCCGCGCGTAACAGTGTCACCCCCCAGTGCCAGTGCCATCGGGCGTGACGCGACTGACACGCCCGAGCCATCGACTGACGATGCCAATGCAACTGAGGATCTGCCTGCAGACCCTGCCAGCCCCGACCTATTGCCCCAAACAAAGCAGGTTCAAAAGGTCTCGTCGCGAGGCGGCAGCTTTCGTTCGCGCAGCCAGTCGTTTTAGGTTCAGTTTTTGTGTTTGGTTG